ATTCATCCATTCACACACACATTCACACACTGGTGGGGATGAGCTACAATGTAGCCACAGCTGCCCTGGGGCGCACTGACAGAGGTGAGGCTGCCGAGCACTGGCGCCACCAGTCCCTCCGACTAGAATAGAATAGAATGAATAGAATAGAATAGAATAGAATAGAATAGAAGAGATTTATTGATCCCACAGTGGGGAAATTCACTTGTTAAAGCAGCATCAGCACTCACCAGAATAATTTGAAGAGAAATAATAACAAATAGGCAGTAAGCTATTGTTGTAACCTTCGACCACTAAAAACTACAAATAAAAATGTAAAACTTGGGTTCCAGAACTATGCAGCATGCTGTAAGGGACACAGACATACCATGTAAATCCGGTATTGCACAAATATTGAACACATACTGAATATTGCATTGGTGTTATTGTGTACCAGCAGAGGTGGAAAGAGTACTAAAATTTCCTACTTAAGTACAAGTACCAGTACTTTGATAATTTTTTTACTCAAGTACAAGTAAAAAAACTTGCCTAAATTTTTACTCAAGTAAAAGTAAAAAGTATCGTAAATAAAATGTACTCAAAGTAAAAGTTACTTAGTTACATTTTTGTCAGCGTAAAGATGGTTACATCAGTGCAAAACCACAGCACCAGTTCACAACACGCTCGTGTGTGCACGCACACACACGGACACACACACGGTTTGATGGAAGGATTTCTATCCAATCAGTGAGAACAGGACGTGCACATTGATTGGACGAGGTTTTTCTAGGATTGTACGTTTAAACTGTGATTAAAATTATTCTTTATTTTGAAACAAAAAAGTTCATTTTTAGCTCCCATCAGCATGTGAGGTATCTCCATGTTCTCATGACAAAACTCTAACATGAGACTGTGCTCTAACCTGTCACATAACAAGCTAAATGAAAGTCAAACATTTCAGATGGACCGTATGACAGCTGCTAACGTTGGCCCAGCCCTACGTACCTCTACAACAGTTCCTTTATCCATGTCCATCCTAGAGCTCCTCTCTGACCTTCATGCTCATTTAGAGCAGCTGATTTTTAAAGTTAGCAGAGTAGTTGGTAGTGGGTTCACTCACTCATTTAAAGATGTCGGACAGAGACTAAATTCGTTTGAACAGCATGTGTAAATGTGTATTAAAACCTCAGATAAAAAAGATTTTTGGGATTTTGACAGCTGGTATTGTAAGAAAATCTGATGTTTGTGACCGGCGAGGGAAAAACAGAAACTAACTTCCGGTCTAAGCCCTGGGCAGCTGGTGACGTTTCACAAGGAGCTCTGCTGAAACAGCTGTAGTAAACAACGCCTGATTCCGGTGTTTCTGCGTTAGCGTTATAGCAGAGAACATTGTGTCATCAATCAGATGTAGCTTCTGAAGCCTCTGCTAGTCGGTCAGATTAGTTTTTTCTCTGGGATACGGCGACGAGAACGGATATTGGATTACCGGAGAAGTTCAACCGAACTCAGACCCCGCCAGCTGGATATCACTACCAGAGGTGCTGACAACATTCTTTACTATTTTCTGGCTACAGCCCAAAAAGGGTTGTGTTATTCTTAAAATATAAATGACACAGAAAAAAGTTAACAATACACACTTTTTTAGAGCTTGCGTTATTGTGCTGATGAACAGTGGTGCCCTCAAAAGGCCATGGCCTACCCTGGCTACCCCACTACCCCTCTGGGAAGACAACCCCTCCACCCCTTATATAAATTACATCTATGTTTACATAAACCATACATTCATCCTCTTTAATCAAGACATAAATGTTAAAGCTAATAAATACATATATTCTTATAAGTTATGTAATAAATCATTATATATTTATTATATATATGAGTTTTCTCCGAAGAGTGGCTGGGCTCTCCCTTAGAGATAGGGTGAGAAGCTCGGTCATCCGGGAGGGGATCGGAGTAGACCCGCTGCTCCTCCACATCGAGAGGAGCCAGTTGAGGTGGCTATCCTATCAAAAATGTAAAAGGTAGGCGATCGGAAAAAAGAACCAATCAGTAATTGGGACATGTGGCACTAGATGAGAAAAGAACCAATCAGAGTCTGGAGCTGGCCACTGTTTGAACAAGGGAGCGGTGTATGCCGGTAACAGTCGAACAGTTTATGTCTAAAACGAGAAAATGTCCACGGCTGAGAGGAAAATCATTAGATGTGACAATCTGTCAAAAGTCTTTGCTTGGTGAGTACACATCCAGGGTCTATTTTGGTTTTAAAAGTTGCAGTGGTACCAGTGAACGTTATAAAATGACAAGCGACCCATTCAGAGTCAGGGGACTCCAAAGCACTTTACACTACAGTGTATCTTTCATCCATTCACACGTTGATAGTGACGAGCTACAATGTAGCCACAGCTACACGCGAAGCAGCAGGGGGGCAGCTGTCACCGACAGCATGAAGTCACATGAGTGACTTCGTCAGTAAACACAACAACAAGCAGGAGAAAACTACAACATGGCTCCAAAAGGTTTGTGTTTTATGTTCTGTCCGTTTTATAATCGCCAATACGGACCTGAAAAACAAAGTAGACCGCTAGCTAGGTGATAACTTCTCACGGGGCGCACAGTAACTTTTTAAAAGTAAAGCAACCGGAAGGCAGTACGTTTCTTTATTCTGAAAATCTCGGGAGCTTTGCTCCATTTCCGCGTCCGATTTCCTGTCTTTCCTTCCCCAAAAATGTCGAACTTGACCCGTTTCAGAGGCATCGCACAACGTAGAAAATACCCCGGCTTTCCACGGGAGCCGTCAGCAGCACGTTACTGCAGCAGCACGTCATAGCTGATGATAGGAACCGCTGTGGTCAACAGAACCTTTTCCACTGGAGCCGTCAGCAGCGCGAGTCGGCCGCGTCTCAGGAGCAGCATGTCGCGGCCTTTACGCGCCGGTTCTATTTTCTACGCGTGACGCCTCTGAAACGGGTCAAGTTCGACATTTTTGGGGAAGGAAAGACAGGAAATCTGACGCGGAAATGGAGAGACGCTACCGAGATTTTCAGAATAAAGAACGTACTGCTTTCCGGTCGCTTTACTTTTAAAAAAGGTTACTAACTGTGCGTCCCCGTGAGAAGTTATCACCTAGCTAGCGGTCTCCTTTGTTTTTCAGGTCCGTATTGGCGATTATAAAACGGACAGAACATAAAACACAAACCATGTTGTAGTTTTCTCCTGCTTGTTATTGTGTTTAGTGACGAAGTCACTCGTGTGACTTCGTTCTCTGTCGGTGGCAGCTGCTCCCCTGCTGCGTCGCGTCTCGTGGGAAGGGCCAAGCAGCAGCTTACGCGAGCAAGACGTGCTGCTGCAGTAACGTGCTGCTGACGGCTCCCGTGGAAACCCGGGGATAGAACCCGCGCGTAAAGGCCGCAACATGCTGCTCCTGAGACGCGGCCGACTCGCGCTGCTGACGGCTCCGATGGAAAAGGTTCTGTTGACCACAGCGGTTCCTATCAGCAGCTATGACGTGCTGCTGCAGTAACGTGCTGCTGACGGCTCCTGTGGAAAGCCGGGGTTAGTGCGCATGCGCGTGGCGGCAAACCCGCAAAGACAAACATGTCTGCCGTGTGGAACTTCTTTACGGGTTGCGAGAGTGATATTAAGTTTGCGTCTTGCAACACTTGCAACGAAAACATACCCCGCGGAGGAAGCACTTCAAAAAAAGTCAACACAACGAATTTGATCCGACATTTAAAGACTAAACACTTGGCGGAGCATGGTGAGTTTTTGAGGCTCACCGCAGACAATGAAAAGAAGCCTGCTAATGCAGCCACAGTCAGACGGCAGCTAATGCAGCCGACGCTTGGAAACACTCACCCATATGAGCGTGACAGTCAAAAGGCTAAGCAAATTACCCGTAAAATCATCGAGTTTATTGGACTAGACGACCAGCCTTTTTCAGTTGTGGAAGACGCCGGATTCCGCCGACTACTAACCCACTTGGAACCTCGCTACATGCTACAGGGACGTAAATATTTCGCCGACGTAGCCCTTCCAGAGCTCCACCCGACAGTGTATTCTTTCATCGAGGGACTCCTTAAAGAAAGCGTCTCATCCTCTGTGAGTTTCACAAGTGACATTTGGAGCTCAGATGTCAGTCCTGTGTCAACGCTGAGCTTAACAGCTCACTGGATGTATCTGAATGTATCCTTGGTTACTTAATTTGATTTAGGCAGTGATGTGAGATATTGACTTTTTTTGCACTATTTGTATTCTGAAGAGAGCCTTAATGTTTTCAATTTCTTATAAATTGTTACTGATATTACATAATTTGAAGTGAAGTAAAACCATGTTTTTTCTGAATTAATTTGTAACACATGCATTAGAACTCACCATAGCTAAATGAGCAATTTACAGCCAATCTATGTAATTTGTATCGGTAATCGGCTGATCGGCCATGATCGGCCTCTTGGCTGATCGGTATCGGCAGATTAAAACCTGATCGGAGCATCCCTAGAAATGATGTCTTCTGAAATACTCGTGTTTATAAAATGTGTTGGGTGCACAAGCCTGTTGTTTTTGTAATGAAGAGGAATGAAGAATCAATCCAATGCAGGCAAAACTCTCCCAGTTATCACACTTTAGTGCCACCCCAAAATTTTCACTGGCACCATCCGGCCCCCTCATGAATATTTTCTGGGGGCACCACTGCTGATGACTCACAAAAAAGAAGTTGTTGCATTATTTGTAAATTACAGACCCTAACTACTGAAGCTCCAAATGTGGAATAAGAAGCTCGCCTCATCTGTTGTTTTAAAAGGTAGTAAAGAATAAGCTGGTCATGGTTAAATAAGAGTAAATCAAGATGGTTTTTTTTATATTTTTCATATTAAAAATTTACAATTATTTCACTTTGAAAAAATAAACACCACTTTAATGCTACATCAACACAAATATTATACAGTCAAGCTCAAAAAGGATGTTTTAAAGTTATTAGTTTACATTCAAATGAACAAAAATAGGATTTAAGCAAATGAAACAAACACTGTTCAATTATTTTATTTAAATAAACGCATCTGACTAAAACGCCAGATTTAACTAATTATAACACACACACACACACACACACACACACACACACACACACACACACACACACACAGAGTAAACACTCAAAGCCACAAGTTTAGACTCAGTCCGTCCCTTATGCTACATAAGTGAAACTTGGACATAAAGAATAAATAACAGCTAGCATCAAGGTTACAAAGTCAATCTTTAGTCACTGTCAGTAAAAAATCAGTGGTTTGGTTTTATCACGTTCTGTGATGGACTTAGTTACAGCAGTGGTGCACACATTTTCACCTCTCAGCACTCTGAAAGATCAGTGTTTTTGCCTGTTCTGATCCATTTTGATGCATGCCACACGTTTCTGTTTTCACATGAGAGGGAGGCTTTACCTAAACGGTATTGGGAGTACTTGTCTTTGCATTCAAAGCAGAAAAAAAATCTAAATAAACACTGAAGCAGCAACGTGAGTTATGCAAGAGTTGAAGTAAATGAGTCAAAATATGCAAAAACACTGAAATGCTCGTAAGGCAACAGATTTCACTTGCAAAAATGCCTTATTTAAAACACACACACACACACACACACACGTTTACATAAATTAGTGTGCAGCCCTGATTTCAGATGAGTTTATAAACAAACACATCCACTGTGACGGTAAAAGTTAGAAGTAGTCTCTCCTCCGTGAATCGTCGCTTGTAAAAGAGGGGTTCCACTGAGCGGGGTAGATACAGGAGTGACGAGATCCCGGCAGTCCTGTGAATGGATACAGGCCGTTTCTCTCCAGGTCCGAGTTACGCAAAGCAGGCTGGGAAAAAAACAAAACAAAACAACAAAAACAAAAGATGACTAGTTTAATAAAGCACACTAAAGTGACCCCAAGATCTAATTTAGTCGCAGCAACCCCTCTTTGAATGATTGCGAGTCTGGAAATGCTTTATGACAATTTATTAAACTCAAAGTAGAAAAACTGTCGCTCCACAGATAATTTTTTTAAATCTTTTTTAAACAGTGCTTTCTACTTACAGAGTAGTAAATATCGGTCATTTGCAGGAGATTTTTGGTGCTGCCATTTTCCTGCATCTCTATGGTTTCCCTACCCCACTCCATAGAAATTCGGTTATTCTTCGGAAAGTCTGCATACGGGGACATCTGCATGTCTCCACTCTTGAAAATGATCTTATTGATGTCATTTTTGTCTTTCCTGAAATAATAAATATTTTAAGAAAGGTCAGAATTCACAAAATTCTCTAAAAGGCGAAAACTTGCCATACTGTGCAGGATCTGTTTATCATTTTTATTCATGCATAGCAAGGTTTATATAATAAATTTGCTTAAATAGCAAGCAAATGAAGCCTTTCAGCTGATAATGAAAATGATCTTACTTGCAGCAGGTCACAATGAGAGCGATGGTAAGGATGAGGAGCATAGCTCCCCCTGCAGGTGACACCACAACTGCAATCAGCTTGTAAACTGACAAAAACAAACAAAAAACATATATTTAAAAGATTTGTTCAAACTGAATATTAAATATTTTGTTAGAGCTACTTACAATTTCCACAATTAAATCCTCCAAATCCAAACATGCACCTGAAAAACAGATCAAGGTTATTAGAGGTTTCTGCAACCTTTTTACATAAAGAGTCAGTTTTCCCCTTGGAATAAAACTTATTCAGAGCTGCATCTGTTGCGGGAAATGAGGCAGTTTATCACTATTGAGAAATATCTAAGAAGGAGGATTAGGGGAACTATTTTTGTAGGAATTCTGAGAAAAGAAATCTGAATTTTGAGTATTTTTCTGAAATTAAAGTCCGAAACCCTTCAATTTCTACTATTAAAGACAGTAATCTGTTATACTTTATATATATATACATAATTATATTTGCAAATATTTAATGGACATATTTCTCTATGAGATACTGATATTTGTGGAAAATGATGTGAAAGACAGAAATTATTACTGGTAATTTAGATTCATGCTGTTGTGGGAATTTTATGCAATTATTCCACCATTAAAACTGCTTAAACCTGATTTATTACATTTATATTAATTAACACAAGTTAGTTTTTATCATTTGTTAGCCAAAGCTAATAAGATCCATTGCAGAAGATCCAAAAAGCCACTTGTGGCTCCAGAGCTGCAGGTTGCAGACCCCTGGCAAATTATAAAAGATGTGAACCTTACGGGACACACGTGCCATTTTCCAGCTTGTATCCATCCCTGCATTCTGAAACAAAAAGGTTTTGTTGTTTTCACATTTTTTTAAAAATCATTCCCAGTTTTTGCAAATTATCTTTTCTCAGTAATCAAATGCCTATTACGCCTGTTTTTAAGTGAAAAGTGAAGCAGAGCTCACCCAAGCAGGACAAGTCATCTGGGTTGAGTTTGTAATACCCTTGCAGACACTGGCAGTTTGCCGTACCGTTGCCGTCTGTGCAGGTGGAGCGATCGGCATCGCACTGAGTTCTCTGAGCTTCACACAAACTTTCCACTGAAACACAAAATGCACAAGTTTTAAAGGGATTGTCCATCCATTCATCTTCCTCTGCTTATCTGGGGTCGGGTCGCGGGGGCGGCAGCCTCAGCAGAGAGGCCCAGACTGCCCTCTCCCCAGTCACTTGGGCCAGCTCCTCCTTGGAATCCTAAAGCGTTCCCTGACCAGCCGAGAAACGTCGTCCCCCCAGCGTGTCCTGGGTCTTTCTTGAGATTTCCTAACAGTTGGACATGCCTGGAAAACCTCACTAGGGAGGGGTCCAGGAGGCATCCTAACCAGATGCCCAAGCCACCTCAACTGGCTCCTCTTGATGTGGAGGAGAAGCAGGTCTACTCTGAGCCCCTCCCAGATGATCAAACTAACACTCCTCCACTGGTGACAGGACCATATTCTCATGAAACTTGTGAGAAAAACGTGTTACAGTGATCCCTCGCTACTTCGCGGTTCGTTTATCGCAGATTCACGACTTCGTAGATTTTTTCTTTGGAGCCTTATTCAAGAGAAATTCGCCGATTTGCAGTATTTTTCACCGATTCGCGGTACTTTTCTATGCAAAATATCAAGAAATTCCTGTTTTGTTTCATCAGTTTCATCATAAAATGCACTTTTTGTAATAAAACTATAAAAAAACCAAGTAAAATTTTTTTTCTATGTAAAGGAAGGGTTTTAAAAGTTAAATAAATACTGTAAGTATGGTGTCCCTACTTCGCGGATTTTCTCCTATCGCGGCCAGGTCTGGAACGCATCTACCGCGATAAACGAGGGATCACTGTAACCTGGTCTACAACTTTGACACATACTGCGGTACGAGAGCTGGTGCTGCAGGACCATTCGGCAGTGGGTCAGTGAGGAGCTGCAGTTGCTGAGAGACATCTGGATGCTTTTGAACACTTCAGCAGTCGTCACATCGGTGGAGAGCGAGAACATGTTGACAGCCAAGATACGAAGTGCAGGCTGCTCTCTGCGAGGACATCACATACTCCTTAACTCTTAGAAAAAGTAATAATGGGACGACAAAGGCAGGACGAGGATATTTTGAAAAGCTGATAGACTTACTTCTTGGTCAGCGTTGAGCGACTGTACCCTCGAAGTACCGACAATGACACGTTGAGCTGCAGTGACGAAAAGGTTTTTATCCATTGAACATTAAACTAATAAAGAAATTAGAAGAAAAGCTTTAAATATGCAGACTGATGTTCACCAGTTGTAGGATTTCTCTCTGGATCTCATGCATGGCAGCACTCTTTACAGAGGGGTTATCTTTGTTAAAGCTGAAAGTACCCAGAAATGTCTTTGCTAGGAAAAGGAAACAAATAAGTGAGATGACCTGGATGAAAATAATTATAAAAGCCCCAGTTGGTGTTGCAGCCATACCTCTGGTGCACGTGCGTCCATCCTCGAGATCAAATCCGAGTGGACATTCACAGCTGAAGGAGCCTCTGGTGTTAACGCAGCTGGAGCCAACAGGACACGGGTCCTGCTCGCACTCATCCATATCTGAACACGTTGGACATGCATCTGTTAGAATCGTGGAATCGGGTCTGCTTTGATGGTGGGAGACCGTTACGTCAGCTCACCCTGGTTGCAGTTTGGTCCCGTCCAGGCCTGCTGGCATTGGCAGGTGTATTCAGGCCCTTTGTAGCTCACACACACGCCTCCATTCATGCAAGGGTTTGACACACAAGGGTTTCCTGGTGTTCAGATCATTAAACAGAGACAGAATCAGTCTTTGTTGGCAGTTTTTTTTAACAATTTAGCAACATATTGCTGTATAGGGAACCTAAGCCACGCCCATCCACTTCTGGTCCATGGGTACAGCCCAGATTTTTAAAAAAAGAATGGGAGTCTATGGAGCAATTAGTCATTTACTGATCCCGTTTGATATGAGGATTTAACACATGCGTGTATTTTAAAAACACTGTTTGACACCAAGAAAGCGCTTTTTTTTTCAACAGATGGCAAAGGTTACTCACCAAATTTACTTTGTCAAACCAGACAAGATGAAGAAAATTGGCTGTGACTTAGCAAGCTTCACATCCTTCCTCCAGGACGAAAGAAGGAGCATTAAACAAGGAGAAAACCACCATAAATCTGGCCGTGTGGCAGGAGCTACTCTGGGGGAGAAGAGCTTCTGCTGCAACGTCTGATTTGGAGTTAATTTAATTGCAAAATTTTACAAGCAAATGAATCTCAAATGAGTCCAAACACACATCATTATCTTTCATTTAAAACTGAAGAACCGCAAATGTGTGATTCCGGGCGAAAGGCCAAGCAGACCAGAAAATAACTCCATTGTCTTACATTCTGTTTTCATTCAGGAGACTCATGGGCCAACCAGAAGACTTATGCTCCCTATTTGTTCATTGACAGATTTTGGGTGGTTTTACAGTGCCGGTATTCACTTGGTAAGATTAAACAAAAGCTCCCCGATTCAGATTTCATGATGTTTTGTAGAAAAATGAAGCCCGAATGGTGCAAATTTGAATAGTTAGGACAACAACCTTTGTGAAAACTTTCTTCCTTTGTTAGTTGTTTTTACATCTGTTGCATTTCAATTTAGATTCTCTTTGATAAGAGAGGAGATCCTTTTCAGCAATTCCATCCTTTGCAGCCGCAAACGAAATGTTGCAGGTAAATAAAACCTGTCTGTGTTTTAAAAAGAACTAAAAGATGGAATTAGAAATTCAACACAGCAAGAACACACCACAGATCCTTTTTCGCAAGTTGCAACATCTAATTTCACCACTAGATGTCCTTATACCCCACACCTGTAACATCTAAGCAACCACTTGGAGTTCAGAAACTACAGGTGGAACTGGAAAAATTAGAATATGATGCAAAACTCCATTTATTTCAATGAACCAGTTTTGACTGAGAGACCATCTAAAGGCTCAGATGGTGCAGGTGATTTGAATTCCTTAGTCTAGAATATTGAACCTTCACACAATATTGTGGAAGACAGAAGTCGCCAGATTCTGGGGGTGTGGCGACTGGACGCCGGCTGGTGCTTGTCAGGCGTAATGAGGCCGGAGAGGAGAAAAGGGTGGCAGATCTACCAAGGTGTGTGTGTGGTCGATCTGTCATTGTGGCACCCGGTTCTGCGGGGTGGGATTGTTTGCAGTTGGTTAGGACTGCCGGCGATGAAGACAGCTGAGTAGGTGGGCAGTGTTCCAGCGCTAGGAGGGGAGGCTTGATGCCTTCTTTAGGTAGTGAGGGCTGGGAGTAGTTGGGTGCCGAGACCACGCCGACATCTGCCGCCGCAAACTCTGGCAGCCGGACCTGAGCCGTGGACTCCTTGCAAGCTGAACCCCAGGGCATCGGATGGTGTCGGAAGCGCAGACCCCTGGGAGGGGGTCGCATCGACTGGGCCAGCTAAGTACCCGCTTGCTTGATTTTACTTATGCTGATCAGCTGGTTTTATCGTGAAGGAACTTGGCTGTAGTGCTTTATTGTTGGTTGTGTTGATAAAGGATATTTTTGATAAATTGCTGACTACTGGTGCTGTTTTTAGGTTCTGACTGGAGGGTAAGATATTCTGCCCCTGCTCCCACTGAAACTTATATTACAATAGTCCAACTGTCTGAGATTTGGGGGTTTTCATAAACTGTTAGCCAGATATTTCAAATAAATGCTTAAAATATCTGCCTTTGCGTGCAATAAGTTGATGTCAAGTATTAGTTTCACCTTTTAAGTTGAATTACTGAAATAAATTAACTTTTGCACCATGTTTTAATTTTTCGAGCCTCACCTGTAAAGCCAACTAAATTACAGCAGAAGACACAAAGAACCAAGTCTGCATCGATGAAAGCTGAACAAAACATTTAAACAATGAAGTAAAGAATCGAGACATTGTTTTCTACAATTGCACATTAGCTCTAATCTATATCTAATAAATTGTATTTTTATTGCTTTTACTACATTTTTGGTTATACAGTGATCCCTCGCTACTTCGCGGTTCGTTTATCGCGGATTCACGACTTCGCAGATTTTTTCTTTGGAGCCTTTTTCAAGGGAAATTCGCAGATTCGCGGTATTTTTCACCGATTTGCGGTATTTTCTTATGCGAAATATCAAGAAATTCCTGTTTTTTTTTCATCAATTTCATCATAAAATGCACTTTTTGTAATAAAACTATAAAAAAAACAAGTAAAAATTTTTTCTTGCGTTTTACCAACAAAAAGAGAATGTGATCATACGATAATTCAATATAGTACTGTACTGTAAATATGGTGTCCCTACTTCGCGGATTTTCACCCATCGCGACCAGGTCTGGAACGCATCTACCACGATAAACGAGGGATCACTGTAATCTCTTTTTATGCATCTTAATAATTTTAGTTTTTGAAGACTCACTTGGTGGCACCTGTGTGGTTCTGACATCTGGAGGTGTGGTTGTCACCAGCTGCTCTGTGGCTCCCCCGTCTGGCTGTTTCCTGGTGGTGTGAGGAGCCTCTGTACTGGCAGGAGCACTGGGAGTGGACCTGGGTTTGATGTACTGACTGGGAGTTGTGGTAATTCTCTTGGTTTCTGCACTTGTTTCAATCTGCATGGTGGCAGATTTAGTTGGGGTATCCCATCCAGTAGAAGGCCCCTGCGTCTGGCTGGGTGACACACGGAGAGTTGAGTGGGCTGTAGAAGTCAGCGGGGCCAAGGTGGAGGCTGTTGAGGAGGGTAGAGTGTGTAGGAGGGTGGCCTCTGTAGGGACGTCTGATGTAAAACTACTGAAGACCACAGCTGGTGGTGTTGTAGGGAGAGGAGGTGCTGTGGAGGCTGTGGTGTTGGTCGTAAAGGTGGATGATGGGAAAGTGTTTTCCTCGGTTGGCTGTAATCTGTGAAATTAAGGGATAAAAATCAACCATTGCCATTTATTGCTGGCTAATTCACCCCTAGACTGAGAAAATGCATCATTTTTGACCACAAAAGAAGAACGTGTTTTACCTTTCGGTGACGACTGGTTTGGTGGTGAGGAGGACCCCGGTAAGAAGTGTGTGTGTTGACGACTCGTACGCTTCAGAGGTGCTGCTACTGAATGTTGAGGGAGCTGCAGTCAGACCCAAAGTCACGCTGTCCTCGCTAGTTTGGGATGAAAGAGTCTCTGTGCCCTCCTGGTTCTGAGTGGTTGTCTCTGTGGAGGTTCCAACACCTGAGCTGGACCCCTGATCTGTCCCAGGGGTGTCTGTAAGACCTCCAGTTTGTAACGTGAATGGAGGAGTGGAGGAAACGGGTGTTTCAGACTGATTGGTGCTGGACTCTGTCACCCTAAGAGGTGGTATTGAGTCTGAGGACTCTGGCGACGTGGAAATGTGTTGATCCGGTGAGGCATTGGGTTTCCCAGTCAAACTCAGGGTTCCTCTGACCCCCACTGGGCTCCTGGTATCTGAAAAGCTCACAGTGGTGTGCTTCGCTGTTGTTTCTCCCGTGTTAGTCCTCTGCGATGGCACGTGAGTATAATCCTCAGTCTCTGCGGGCCTTGGAGGGATCCCCCAAGTAGATGGAGGCTGATGGGATTTGGAGTCTTCTGTATAGGACGATGAGGCGCTGTCGTTAGAGGAGGAGGTAACGGAAAGCAGAGTCCTCTCCCCAATGCGGCTAATGGTGGTGGTGTAGGTGCTGTCAGTGTGAACACCGGTCTCCGAAGCTGTGGCAGCCCTCAGTCGGAGGGTGGTGTCAGGGCTGTTCCGGGGCAAGTTTTCATCCTCTGTAAACAACCAGAACTTGTCCTCTTGGGACAACGCGTGGGAGATGGCGAGCATCTGGTTTTTGTTAGTAGAGTCCTTAAAGTCACTGCTGCTGCTCCTGCTGGCCTCTGTGGCGGTTACAAAGGAAGAGGTAAGCGGCTCGGTTGAAAGATTCGTGGCCTCGGGAGACATGCTGCTTGTTTCTGTGAAGACGTTTGTCTGCACAGAGGCTGGGGGGGTAAACAAACACAAATTGTTAACTTTGACTTAGAAAAGCTTCTTTGCAGAGCTGAAATGAAAAGCACTTGGAAAAATAATCAGCACTAATTTGGCTAATTTAATCATTTGTGAAGCAGCGTGATGTAGAAAAGCCTGGATCTAATCAATCTGGAAGATCTAAAAGGACATTTTTGATTATTTCCAATCTCCAAACTGTTAATTAGTCAATTTAATCCCAAAAAAATCATATTATTATAATTAGGCAAAGATGCTAATGAGCAACCATTAAAGGTCCCTTCTCTAATCAGGCAAAGAACGCCACTGCTTTTGTATACGCAGCCAGCAGAGGGCGCTCATCCAGCAGCACTGAACCTGTAAGAACTTCAGAAAGTGAGAAGATGCTGAAAACTTGTATGAGCTGTGATTTTTGGGTGGAGAACCACCAGCAGCCAGCTTGTCTACTCCAACAATGGCTTTGGATCCTAAATATGGAAGTGACCATCTCTCCTGGGAATCAGTCATTTCCTTCCTAAAGCTGGGCGAGCCACAGATCCAGGCGTGTTTTAATCTACAATGATCTTTCAAGCTATTTGAAAATAGAAAAAGGTCATAAACTGCATAGATACAACCAAAATTGAAAAGAATGCAACTGCAGAGACAATACTGCTGATTTAAAGACATTTTTGTGGTGTTTCACTGATGAGGACAGAGTGGAATGGCATGCAAGCATGGCCTCCACCTAGAGACGCTGTTTCAGCGCTGCAATTAAAGGGAAAGCATCACGTAAAACAAGTCATCTGTTGTGGCTGCACTCATGCTTACTTGACAACCAAAAATCAAGTGAACAGCATTTCATCTACTGATCAAATGCTGATATGCAAGTTCATTGTTATATATTTGGTTTGGAACCATAATAATAGACTATAATCCATTTTTAATCTAGTTTTAGCTCCGTTTTTATTTTTCATCTGCTGCTATTTAACAGAATTTAATCACTTCTAGGGTGTTGGATCAAATTGTTACATGCACATGGAATAGAAAACATAAGGTTTATAAAAATAAAAATTTTAAATGAGTTGCGTCAGGTTTTCCTCTGATCAGCTCTCGGACTGGAACAACAACTCAGTGGGTGCGTATAAATGCCACAAACAGTTTCCATCCAAAACGTGTACTGCAGGATGTTATTTTTTGATTATTTAAAAAAAAAAGGCAAATAAATGTTTTTGAACATTAAAATGTCTTATTTCTTGCCTGGCACTTAATTGTGTTTAAAATATTTATTACAAAAACAAAATGATATTAATTACATTTGAAGAAACCACATTATTTGAGTTAACAATTTGTACAAATAAGTAGTGATAAATACAATTTGTAAGTTCAACTTAAAGCCACACCAGCGTTTTTAACACTTTAAGCTATCAAACTGGTTTCAGTGGTTCTAGAGCCAGAAACTTGAGCAGCTTCACATTGGACAGCACTCTGTCGCCCTCTGTTGACCAGAAACTGTGTTTTGTGGTTCGGATAGGTACACTAGTGAAAAGTCTCTACCTGCTTTACGGCAATAGCTGTTTGTTGTGCCAGAAGCTCATATGGCTAGCAGTTAGCCAATAAAAAGCACAAGCCTGGAAGTAAAAGTAAGAGAGTAATGTCATCGGAGGCGAAGCAAGAGCTAAAGCAAATGTGAACATCGGTGTGGCCTACACTCGTTAAAGGAAGATACGCAATCTTGAACTGATGGTGACCTGGCTTTGTTGCTGCTGGACTTAAAAGTCATAATTTTTTTTCAATACTGTGGATCTTTTAACTTTATGGCTTGTTTTGTATCAGGTGGCTCGCGTTAGCGTTAGCTCGTTGTTGGCGCTAGTTACAATAGGTTGTGACAGAGTTGTTTAGGACAGTTGTAATTCCACTTTCAACCAGCAGGAGGGAGAAGTGTGAAACTTCTTGTTTCTGGTTATTTTAGACAATTTGAGGATTCAAACTAAATTAGTTAAGTAAACTAGTCATTTTTAAGTAAAACGTAACGGTCATCCATGTCAGCTGAGCCAAATCTGTTTTATTTCAGCATTTGTAAAAAGTGGTTCAAAGGGAACAGGTTTCCATGAAGATATTAAGCAAACTCAACCAATCCAGGATTACAGTGTAGAAAAATGAGAGTTCATTTGCTGAACAGCCTCTCTGTTGGGAGTCTGTGAGGGAAAACTGGGCCACCAGGCTATTTTTCTCATTCACTTCCTCTGCGTGCTCTTCCTTCATTATATCATTTTTCTGTTTTCCTCTTTGGATTCATTCCGGGCAACAAAACTTCGACTGGAACGTTGTGCTGGCAGCAAGTGATGGACACTCCCAGATCCTCTGCTGTTTATCTCTCAGCTGTTAACACAGTTGTCAGTGTTATTTCACTTTTTTTTCCACATCTAATGTACTTCAGGAACTGTTCCTCTTGCGTGAACACAAACTAAGGCATTTGACATTCCCCTCACTTGAAATTAAAGTAACAAACAAGCTGATTTAAGAGGTTAATGGGTGCAATTGTAGCTATAAAGCAACAGTTTGGGGATTATTTCAGGCTTATTCTTCCCTAGCATCCGTGCCTTTGAGCAAACCTCAGCATGAGGGTGTTGGTGTAATGAAACTGTTTGGGACAGCTCCGAGTTGGACTGTGTGAAAATGGGTGTTGGTGGAAATGACCAAAATATCCAGCCAAACCCACAATGGGCAAATAAAACTGCATAACATAATCTAACCAGACTGCCCTAAAGACATATTTTGTTATACTAACATATTTTATTTTTGGTTTAAAAAAAACTAATTGACTGACTTTTAACTTCCCCAACAGAAAAAAAGAAAATATTTTTTGTAATTATTTTTTATTTTTTTCATTTGGAGCCATGAAAGTTTGTATAAAACGCATAAGGTCATAAAATGTGAAAACCACAATATTAGGGTGTTACAATAATGTAAGGTAAGTAGGGTGTAGGTTTAGCAATTATAATAACTTCAATGACTGCTTTATTAAGGTTTACACTAAAATGTGCTCTGAGAACAGGTGGGTACAGGTAAAGTAGTTCAAATTTTGCTATTAATTTTATCATTACTATCATCTTCACATAATCTGCAAGATTCCATTAGATCAGAGTAGCAGCAACTGTTTTTGTGTGTATACAAATTTGCAAACTTAGTTTTGCTCCGTCAAATTATGAATTCAAACTCCTTTCAGGCAGAAGTGCATGCAGACTCAGCTGGTCAGGGGAGTTATTTGCTGCCTGCCCGTAGAACAGTTGACAGATAAAATAGCCTCCAAAGCAAATATTTTATCTTTAACAGCTTTCAGCCATCGTCACTGGGGTGCATGGATATTTTTACAAACTATTCTAAAGTAAAACTTCCTGAGTATTCTGTGCAGGAAATTTCTCCTGAAATTCCATTATTGCATCTAAACTTTGCACAGATGTGGATTTTCTTTGTGCTTTACAGGAATCCCAAGGGCTCACTCAGGCCAGATCAGAAGTATTAAAGTTTATTTCATTCTGAGATTTTCTGAGGTGACAACAGTGCGGGAAACCAGGAAGTATTGCATTAGGTCCGAGTCAACAGAGGACGCAGCAACAACTTCATCTAAAGATGATGTAATCATAATAAAACGGCCAGTATCATAAAATATGCATAACGTTAAACTTTAATTACTATGTGTTGGTTATTTTAAAGCCTTCGCATTAATGTTACAAGTGTGAAGCTCTGTTCCCATCTTAATGTCTGAAAAGTAAAAAAATCAAACTTTTGGGTTTTGCATTTCTGGCTTTTTTGGTTTATTGTTGGTTCAGCGTGGATCAGCCTAGAAAATAATGCTATTTTCATTCATCATTAGAGAAGTTCTGACAAAACAACGTGCAACAAACCGTTTATATACCAAAATACATAATTCCTGCCATTTGAGTTGCAACAAACCAATCACCACATGCTCGATAACCCATTTGTAATCAAGTTGAAGAGTTTCTGTCCGTTTTTTTAAGCTTCCAGGCCTCTGAATCTGCGAGCTTACCGAAGTTTGCGGCAGAAGCAGTGCGCGTCTCCGCGGCGTGCGTGAGCAGGATGTTTCTCTGTGATGGGGATAAACTCTCGCTGGAGGATGAAGTAGAAGTTGCTCCGCTTTCCGAGTGACTGACTTCCTTTGTGGCTCCTGAAGAGTAAAACAAGTCCGTTACCGGATCGGTGCTGCTGGCGCTGGGGGTCCCTGCCCCGGGGGACCCCGGCAGGGTCAGCAGCAGAGCCCACAGAGACCAACTGAGGACGGGGCTCAGCAACCACGTTTCCATCATGATGAGCTCCAGGAGTTCGAGCTGAACGGCGGCCAATAGTTTCCCTTAAGTCCAGTGGATGCCGGGGCGTCTCCCGGGGACACCATGGGAGGAGCGCTCCTGCTTTGGGGGAAAGTTTTAGTGGAAAGTGCGGGACTTCTGGTGGCGGTTCGGAGGAGATCCGTGGCTCAAACGACGGGGAACGGAAGATACCAAGAGCCGAGACTGCAGCTTGTTATCACAATGAAACTCGGGCTCCTCCTCCTCCATGCATGCACGCGCGCGCGCACGCAAACGCACTGTTGCTGAAGTCAGAAACAGGATCCTATAAAAGATGCTGCAAAAATAAAAAATAAAAATAAAAATCACAGCATCATCTGGTCGTTTCTTCTGAGCTCAACTGCACCACCAGTAATAACAATTTCACTTATTTACATGTAAAATAAGTCCCACATTTTTATTAGACAAAATTATATTCAGTTTATTTAAGCACCAAATCACAACTAGAGTCATCTCAAGGTATTTTACAAAGCAAACATTCCAATTGAACCTACTTATTGAGTTCAGTTCATTAATGAAACCCAGCATTGCACGAGTCACTTCATAAGAAAGCATGTCGACAGTGGAAGAAAACGTCTTTAACAGGAAGAAACATCCAACAGAACATGGCTCAGTTTGAACTGCATGTTTAAATAAGTGATGCACTTCCAGCATCGGTTTAAAAAAAAAGCAATTGAAACAAGGCTAATCACATTTAATAAAATTAGGCCGAACCCTGCTTCATGCAAGGACTTTCTCAGTTCCTCAAAGTCTGTTGAGAAATCTTGGACTTCAAATGTATTTTCAGCATTATTTACCATAAGCGTGTGTTGGGGACAACATCTTACAAATCTGAGGATAAAAAAAAGAATTGCATCAGTTTCTTAACCTCACTTTCCTTACAGAGCAACATGCAAAACATCCTGTGTTTGGCTTCAAGTTGCACCATTCACGTCAGTGTGAGTATCTTATGAGTAAAATTGCTTCCACTGAAAGTTATCTTGACCTCTGCGTTGTGCTGGAAGTTGGGTCTTTTTTTATATTCTTTAGATAGCGGTGCTTCAGCCTGCTGCATTTGAGAGGAAGTGGTTTTCACACGCTGAAAGTTGACTAAATATTACAACTCACATTCTACATAAGGCCATTTGTAATCAGAATAAGTTTATATTATACAGAATTTAAATTTATGCAGTTTTGAAAGCCATCATTAAAAAAAACCCACCTGAGCACAAAAATTACAGGACCATTTCTAAATTGCCCTTTATCTCTAAAATTTTAGAAAAAGTTGTGTTCAATCAGCTGATTACTTTTCTGGAACTACACAACAGTTTTGTTCAGTTCCAACCTGGTTTCTGTAAAAAACATTAAACAGAAATGGCTTTGCTTAGTGTCCAGAGGCATCATGATGGCTGTAAACAACTGGGAAGTTACATTCTTAATACTGTTGGATCTTTCTGTACCTTAACTGACTCTGTGACTTGGTGGGGATCTCTGAAACTGTTCTAGACAGGTCCAGATTGTACCATATGTCTATAAACCAATTTGTGTCGGATTCCACAAATCTGTTGTGTGGGGTACCCCAAGGCTCCGTTTTGGGTCCACCCCCTTTTACATGAAACACTGTAATTTTTCTGACAGGTTATAAAGGTGCTATATAAATAAACTTTACTTACTTATGTAATTGTATAAATCGGTGAAAATAAAACTATGGACAAAATAATGTGCATAAGTATTTTAATCAAATGTTTGTGTACCAGTATACAAGTAGATCATATCGCCACAAAAACACTAGAAAGATTTCAGAAAAAAGAAATATGCAAGACTGAAGATATTTTGATATTCTACTCAGAGTAAATAAGAAAATTCAGCTTTAATTTATATAAAAATAGTCCCAGAACCCAAAGGGTTGTTATTTATCTCATACACAAACATCTTTTGTGCAACTCAAAGTAAAGCTCAAGTTTCCCTGAAACCCTATGAGGAACATACCTGAGCAACTGAAAGCCACAGAAACAAGTGAACCACAAAACAATACGAGGCTCAGTGAGAGAAAACGTGGTTTCAGCCAGTCAGCTACAGACATGTAACATGTTACAGCAGTGTTTGAGTCCATCATGGTGATTGTACTATATCATCTGCAATGATAAAGGAGGACTGGTGATAGCGGTGGCGAGAAGCGAAATCAGCGTTTTCTTCAGTTAGCTGCTTGGTTTGGAGTCCGATGCCAGACAGAGAAGGTGTCACTACGATCTCATCACGAGGAGATCCTCTCTTCCTAAACAAAAACCAAGATTTAAATTAACATTGCTTAAAAAAACACCAGGAATTAAGCTTACACTTTTTTGTTCTGTCTTCAGAGTCAGCGTATAATGAGAATACAACACAGTACCTGCACATGCTACCAAGTATTGACTTCAGCCATGTAAAAAAGCTGAACTGAGCTGCAATACCTGCAAACAAATCAAGATAAATATGTAATACCTCGAGACGAGTGGCATTTAAATAAAAATTTATGAAATCTAAGCTAAACTTAGGGTGTTTACTTTTTAAAAGAGTAGTGACCACTTTAAGATTATCAACATTTTATTGTCCACCTGTAGGACAAATGTGCGACACCAGGTATTCTAAAAATTGTACAGAGCAAGTCACCCCCAAATCAACGTTTTGTGGCTGATAAACTATATAAATGAGTGTCTAATCGTGCTGTACACACATGCAGTCAATAATTTGGCACTTTAGTGCATCTTCAAATCAAATCAAAGATATTTTATTAATCCCAGAGGGAAATTAGTTTCAGTACACACAATTCAGAGATCAGACATGCATGGGCAAGACACATGACAAGAATTGGTGACTGTGGTCATTCACAACCCTGAGTCGCGCTACCTTAATAGAGATAAGAGGGTTACATGAGGATTGGTTCAGGTGGAGGAAAAAAGGCATTTCAGAGTTACCCTCCACCGGGAGGGCAGCTTTGCTCAGCAAAAAACACCTCAGACATATATGCAACAGTCTTCAGACAACACAACATAAGTGTCCACTAGGTGGGGAGGTGGGTTGGGAAGATCCCCACTTCAGTTCCTGCAGCCACGATAAGCAGCGCATGTCACCTCAGTGTGGATAGTGGGAGGAGCATTGAGGGTTGGAGGGTTGCAGTGACCCTGGAACGTTTCAGTGGCCTTCCCGCCGTCCCGCCCAGGCTGGGAAAGGAGACAGAGTTGAGTTGCCATAGCGACGGCACATTCCACATATCTTCTGAGAGGGTAGTTTTCGTTGGAGCCTTGCAGGCTCAAGGATGCCAGATTCCGATTAGAAATTGTTTTGGGGCCAGACAGAGATAATTTCCTCTCCGTCTTACATTTTGTTGGTCCTCAACCTCTCAAAATCCCAATAATGGACGTTAATCTATCCCAATCCGTGCTGATTCGTCCACTCTCTCCTTGATGGCATCCATCTTTTGTGCCAATAATGAATCTCAGCCAAAGTTCCAAGCTTACGATTCACCTTGACAATTATATGAGTCTGTAAATTCACAGCGCGGTGCAAATCATCTCTGAGCTCCAGGATCAGGCCAATATTCCTCGACAGCTCGTTAATTTTCTGGTAAGCCAGGTAGCCTCCAAGCCCAATGAGCAGGAAACCCGACACCAACACCACGAATATCCACACGTCTTCAGAGTCCTCCACAGACAGCTGAGATAAACAAATCAAGTTCCACTGTTTCCAGGAGTCCATGATGTGTCCAACTGGGTCTGTACCGGCAGGACATCCGGGAGCCCCTTCTCTCGTTCTCATCGTTGAAAGAATTTTATCAATCGCGTTGAGAGACCAGCTGACGAGATCCATTTTAGTGAATTTCAGTTTCCAGAAAAATGCAGAAGCAGCCGTGCACCCAGCACACAGAGAGACAAAGGGCCTTGAGGATAAGAAATGGAGGAGAGGGAAAAAGCGTCTGCACCCTCCAAGAGCCGGAAGAAGAATGCAGTATTATATATATATATATATATATATATTAATTAATTAGTATTATATATTAATTAAGTATTAATATTTAAATCTTAGTTAAGATTTAAATATTCTGCCTAAAACTGTCAGTGCTGCGCCCTCTTCAGGTACAAACTCTGCACTGCATGTGAATTTAAATCTTCCAAAACTATTGGCTAAAGCCTGGGGCACACCGGAGACAGATGCGCTACATCACAAAACTGCCATGGTTTTGGGATGTCAAATGGTCACACAAGAAGTGCTGCACCACTGAGCACTTCTTGGGATGTCACGCAATGGTCACATCACGCGGGACTTCAGAACAGGAAGCGGAAAGCGACTTTTTGTTTTTACGCGATCAAATTTCCCGTCGTTTTGAGAGACTCTAATTCATTAAAAATGGGAAAGTACTTTATTTATTAGAATATTTTAAGATCAATAGTACTTTAAAGTTATCAATACTGCGGTTGGGTTTGTGCCGTAAAGCTGTTCCTCGTCGTAATGTCGTAAACAGCCGCAGCGCTTGAGAATGGAACTGGCGCCTATCTTCAGAGCCTCGGCGCTTTTGGGACGTGGCGCTGCGCTCCTCATGTAGCCACTCTCAGTAACTATAATGGCTTCCACTTAAAATTATGGTACGGCGTGCCGGTCTCTGGTGTGCACTATGCTTAAGAGGAACCCTATAACATTAGCTGGTACCATATGATGTCACAGTGCCATTGTGAGCCTGTGTGTTTATTAACTGGTCCGCCCTCTCCCTCTGCCAGGCAACATTTGTTACATATTTCAAACAGGTAGTGGGAGTGGAGTAAGACTCGGGTAGGGGGTGACTTGATCTTTAGGCAAGCTGCCAGGCTGATGAGCATAAAAAAGCACAAGTAAAGTAGTTTTCTGACTGAAGTCTGAACAGAGCTTCTATAAAATAAATAAGTAAATAGGCCACCTATAGGTAATCCAGGACTTGTTTTTCCAATGTAGAAGAAGAGCAGCAGCGCAACTAGGATGTTTGCTAAAGCGTAAACCCACTGGATAACAAACATGATCAATACGGAACTCAGCGCCTGGAAAATAAAAGCAAATATGCACTTTTTAATTCTTCATTACTGTAAAACTCTTCTGAATAAAAGTTATTAGAATAACTAAATAGAAACAAACAAAAAGAAGATCAGAGAGCTACCCCAAAAAGAGCAATCCAGTGGTTACAGAACTTTGTGTAGACGGAATCCTTCATGGGTCGGATTTCAAAATGCTCGGATTTTTCTCCATCGCCTAAAAGAATTCAGAAAAGTTACAACCAATAAGTTCAAGTATCTTCTCTTAAGTACCTAAAACCAGCTTTAACTGGATCACCTGAGCTGTGATTGGGACATTCAGCTGCTGATGAATCACATCCCACAAAATATATTCCTGTTTGACATTCGACCTGAGGCTGATCTCCATTCTTGACTCCCTCATCCTCTCTGCTCTGCGTTTCATCTCCTTCTTCAGGTGGAGTTGAACTTCTCTCCTCTGTGGACACGTTGCTGTTCTGGTCCAGACCAAAGCTGTCCATCAGTTTCTGCTTAGCAGCAGATCTGCTGCTCAGCTCTTGCCTTGAGGGAGTCGTCTCAAACACCGAATCGGGCTTTGAAGCAGGTGGAAAGATCTGGTCCATGTCTTTAGTGAACTCCAGCAGAGTCCCTTTACCTCGCGGACTCTCACCTCCACTACCGTAACTCGGGAGGCTAGAGTCGATCAGAGGTTTGGAGCTCTGCTTGGTGGACCTGTGGCGACTTCGGCTACCTGAGATCAGGGCCTTCCTCTTCTGTTTGGTCTGAAGCAGGAAGGTCATGGCAACGCTGAAGTAGGAGTAGTCAATAAAGCTGTAGGTGAGCATGAAGTTGATGGTAACGATCGGTGCCAGAATGTTGACCTGACCAATAAAAATGAAGGCCATAGTCAGCAGGCTGGTCAGACAAATGGCCGCCACTGGGGTCTTGTTTGGGCCTTTCTATCAAAGAGACACAATAAAAAGATATGGTTGGTGAAGATTCATTCAAAAAACTTCTAGTTGAATTTGACGTCAATAAAACATTTACACTTACACAGCTAAATTAAGTTCGATAAGAACAGACAGCCAGAACAATGTTTTGCTTCAACTCCCCCCATCTTGTTACACAGTTTAAGGAGCACTGCCATGTGCCTGGCAGGCCTCCAGAGCACACAGCGGAGCAGGGCCCAGACCGTCGCCCTTCCTGCGTTTGTTCTCGGGCTTTGATTTGGGCCAAGATGTCTCAGGCCTCATTCCAGCCTGCTGAGAGAGGTCAAGCGCTGTTGCCATCCTGGGAAGGCTGGGGCGGACGGGGTCACCACATAACACGAACGTCCACCAAGTGTGTGTGCAGCAGCAGTGTGTTGGAACTTTTTTTTTTTTTTTTTTTTTGCTGCTGGGGTCAGTCCTCTCTCTTCTACTTTGTGGAGCCCACACTATAATTAGGCAGCCCAGAAACAGTTTCCTGCTGAGTCCATGCACCACACCCCCTTAACATCCAGGCCACTATTAGGTTACAACATGCCAATTACTGCAGGTAATAGTGATTGAGTTTAAATAACTATGAAAGTTAAAAAGCGTGTACAAAATGCATCATTCTGTAACTCTGAGTTTGTGAAAATCTGCAGCTATACTATCTTGTTTTGGGGCTACATTTTTATCTTCATATACTGTTGAAAATATGTTGGGGTTTTTTTTCACAAAAATTCTCAGTGTATGGCTTTCAGTTGAGTTTACTTGGCAATAGAGCTCTCTAAATAATAGGCATTATTTTAAAATGCCTTAAAGAAACCGTGTTGACTTTGTGTTTATGATTTACTATGATTGATATAAAATATGTGTTCGCTCACATGAAGTGATCTTAGCTATTTTATTCTTCACATTTCCAGTACCTTCCAGAATGAGCTGTTTCAGGGCTCTGTCACTTAAAAAAACAGGCTGGAGCTGCCCCCCCCCCCCCTCAAACTCAGGCTACTATTAGCCGAGAAGCGCTGATATCCAAAAGGGGCTCAGAATAGAGCTACTGCTCCTCCAGCAGCTCTGTATTTCACATGAGAGGTAGTTATATTTTACTTTCTCACTTTATGGCATCACAAATGGGCATTTTTTGAAACGGCTTGTTTAAGGCACATAAAACCAAAACAGATGGATGTATTTTTTTCAAGTTTTGAGTGTTTATAAAGGCGGTAAAGACCCTTGGCAGCCAAAAAGGATGCAAAAGGTGAGTTTTGCATAATATGCCCCCTTTAACCCTCCCACTGTCCTAATGGGTGTGACCCCATGAGGAAAGTTGACCATTGAGCAGGGTTGATGGTTTATCCCTGGGGTCCACGTGGCAGGGGTGAGGAGTGAGCACCACCTCACCCCTGCCACATGGATCTCAATTCTCTTTTAATTGAAATTATTCTCGTAAATATATAATTATTGAATATTTGTGACTTTTTTGAATATTTGTGACTTTTAAAATGAATTGTCTGGGGAGAACATTGAGCCATCTCATGGAGAAGAATATGTTTTTTTTCCCCTTGGATATTGAACAAAATTTTACTAATTGCAAACTAATTTGTCTCACGAAAACACAAAGAAGCACTTAAACGGACATGCGTAAGCTCATGGGAAATCAAGATAAAGTATGAAGAGTTTAAAGAGGTTGTCATTGTCCAGACTCTCCTTCCTTCACCACTCCAATCTTCCGTCCACTCACCCCTCTTCCTAAGAAGGCCAGTGACGGGATGACCCTCTCCTGGGCAATGCACTGGAGGATCCTGGGTGCTCCGTACAGGCCGCCCATGCAGGAAGCCAGGGAGGAGATGTAGAGGCCCAGCAGAAAGAGGAAACCTACCAAGGAGACCTGAAGGAAGACGGAAAACAAACACAGGGTGAAAAGGATGAGGTGGGGTTGCAAGTCACAAAAGCTACACCCAAGGTAGTTCCGCTGCAGTCGGCCTCTTACAAAAACAACACAGACAAAGAAAAGGAATTCTGAGGTTGGTTAGAATTACATCTAAAACTTGCATCTTAAAATGAATTTATTTGAACATTTGTGTTTTTGACACGGTTTATGCTGCAATTACGGATTTAGCTCCTGTTTATACTTGTTTTTTAGCTTTAGATGTCGGTGCAAATGATTATAAATGAGTTAAACTGACAAAAATGTGACTGACTTTGTAAAGAGTGCAACCTTTAACAGAAATAAGTCTCGGTTGTGATTTCCCATCAGTAGATTTAAAACAAAAGGTTAAGTCCTTCAAGCATTTCAAAAACATATACCGTCAGAATCTGAACTAACCGCAACAACTCAGTGAGGCAGGTGGGGAATTTCCACATCCCACCTTCTCTGCTGGAAGCCCCCCCCCTATCTCAGGGTAGGATGGAAACAGAGAGAGGTTTACCTTTTCTGCTATCAAGAAGTCATAACGCAGAGCTTCTCTGGTGCAGATGGCCCCCAGGAGGAAGACAAAGACCAGATACAGGAACCACCTGTAAGTCATCAACAGTTCACCACCAAAATAACTGAAATAAACCAGAACAGTATGACAAACTAGTGCATAAGTGGAATAAAATGGCTCAAAATGTATTGGGTGCCATTAGTACAGTCAAAAGGTTTAATTCAACATCAATATTTTTAGGTCACTAGAGAAAGTAAAATTTAGATTAATTTAAAATCATAATTCCATCACGTCATTCATGCATTTATTAATGTCACAGTTCTAAATTAAATCATTTCTTTTGAAAGCAAGAAAATAAATAGTTCAGACCTAAATATGTATTTTCCAAGTTAAATACTTAAATTACTAACTAAATGTTTGCCTCAGATCTAAATATTTAGTTTGGAAGCTAAATATTTAAAGTAAAAACTAAAAATTTTGTTTGGATAACACATATTTAGTTTAGTACAAAACTTTTTTTCCCCTAACTAAATACTTAATTTACGAACTAAATGTTTAGCTCTAATCCATTTAAATATTTAGTTCGGAAGCAAAACATTCAGCTACAAATTAAGTATTTCGTTTACAAACTAAATATTTGCTTGTACTTAAATATTTAGGTTGGACTTTATTTATTTTGCCAACTAAATATTTAGTTTGAATATACTTATTTACATCTGAGCTTAATATTTAACTTCAGATTAAATATTTTCCTAAATTTTTAATTTGCTAAACAACATTTTGCTTAGTTGAGAACTTTAACATTTATAAATGTATGAATTGCTCAGTGAAAAGTTGATGTCTTATAAAATGAAATGAAAGTTTATTTTTCACTCATGGCATGCTAAATTACATTAATTATTGATTTGTTTCTCTCTCTAAAGGAAGTTCCCACTAGTGAAACAACATTTAAGCCGTTTTAATGTTGCAGTAGCCAAATATCCTTAAATGAACAATAATTCTTGAGTCCATTGTGCCGTGTGTGGATCTGGATGCTGCCATACGAGGTGAAAACTGCTGCCAGTGTTCCCACGGGAATGTTGTGTTCTGGTCGCTGCAGGTCGGAGCTCATGTTGAAACCTGCCATTACCCCTACACGTGCACACAAACCGCAAAAATAATCAACACTAAGTGCAGTTTTACACAAAAATTTTTAGACATGTTATAGGCAATACAGGAAGGATGGCACCTGGACAAAGCTTTACTCACCTGTGGCAGCGGGGAAGAAGACCCCAAATACTGTGAAGAAGGTTTCTCCTGAAGTATAATCTGGTTTTGTGTTACTGCTCAGAAGCTCGGCTGAATACCCAATGAATCCGTGCTCTGAAAAATATATAATGGCACTGTAGCGAACACAATTCTGGACGTAAACTTTCTTTACGGAAATAATATGCTTATTTTATAAATGCACATTTCATACTGTCGTGTGATTGTTCAGTAAAACAATGTTAATTTGATATTTCCTCATCAGGTTGACGCAGTGATAGCTTGCTCTTGTTGTATTGTTGTGTGTTGTTTTTCTCTTTCCGCAGGTCTAAAAGCAGACTCCTGTTCATCATTGTTTATTTCTGAGAGTAAATCTGTAAGGCTTGTCACCAGCATTCAGACATTAATTCTGATTGCTTCACTGCCAGACAGGACACGGAAAAAATAAAATAAAAAACACATTTCCAGCGGGAAGGAGGAGAAGTGTGAAATTAGAAAGCGTAAGGTGGCTATCAGTGCTGTGAAAGGACAGACTTCAAATTTTGTGGGCTCACTGGGGCCCCTTTGTGGTCTGAAGGTCTCAAGCAACTACCTGCTCTGCCTGCCGGCTCACGGCGCCTCTGCATATTTTATTAACTGCTTGGCACACTCCAGTTATGCTTTTATGCTTTATAATCTTATTTGTTGAACTACCAAATAAAAAGTCCCACTTTTCATAATTCTTTACATTTCTATACACCATACTGTTACGCACAAAACATCAGTTTTGACTTTCTTAAAGTGACCGTATGTGTTTTTCCTAGCAATAGGGGGCTGCCGAAATAGTTGCAAGCAAGCAGTATTTTTGTGTTGGAGTAAGACCTTACCAACGGATGCTCATTAGGGTCAAAAAACCCTGGGGAGTGCAAACTTTAGCTAAATAACAAGCACACAGACTATTTTATCACTGATAACAGGTGAAGAGGTAAATGTGTAAAACAACATTTAGGAATGACGAAAGTTTTGTAACTGTTTGTTCCAAATTAGTAAATGCATTTGGTCCTCACGGGTTCCCGTAAAAGAAAACATGGCATCTAATATGGTGTTGCCCAGAGACTTAGACCCACTCCGATCCATTTTAGACCTGATTTTTTATGGTTATATGTTATGAAGTCGCCAATATTTTTCAGGCACCATTTCATTCATTTTCTACAACATTTTAATGGATCTTTCCAGAAATTAATGGTAAAAACTACACATTTTCTCTTTAAAGAAATCTGCAAACAACGGTGTAAAAAATGATCGGTACATGCATTCTCACGTTACATTCTTGACAAATTCCAGCTTCTATGTGGGATGTGTCAGACCACTGTTTATACATCTGATCCGTTGAGTGAAGAACAATAAATTACAGGATTTAATCACATTGGTCTATGCTCGCAACGCAAAACGCAGCTGAAACATAATCCATGAAGAGCAACCAAACACCAAAGGTCCTAATAAACGGTAATACCAACAAGTAGTGAGACTCCAGTAAGGTCAGGCGTGTTCATTCCGGGCCAGACTGTGTCAGGGAAGGTTGTTCCGTTCAGGAGGCGGGTAGCCCGACTGACCTGCCCATGTTACAGCACCGGAGATCACTCCCCCGGTTATCTTGAAATGGGAAAGAATGTGTTCTCTCAGATTAATGACATGTTTATCCAAAAGGAAGTCACCACCCTTTTCAGAAGCTCTGAAGCTTCCAAGTTATGGAAGGAATCAGAGAGAGAGACAGAGAGAGAGAGAGAGAGAGACAGAGAGAGAGAGAGAGAGAGAGAGACAGAGAGAGAGAGAGAGAGAGAGAGAGAGAGAGAGAGAGAGACAGAGAGAGACAGAGAGAGAGAGAGAGAGAGAGAGAGAGACAGAGACAGAGAGAGAAGGGATGAAGCTCCTGCCTACTCTTTGACCCCGTGAGATCATCTGCTACAGAAAATCATCAGAACCTGTACGATCCAGGGCATCCAGCGTCCACAAGAGCTCCCCACCTTTATTACAACATCATTTTCCAACATCCAAGAGAGCTGGACGCCGCCATCTCCGACTCCTGAGCTTTTCTCTGAGAGGATGTTTGCATCTCCAGACTATTGTATAAGGAGCTTAGATCCTAGAGTGTCAGGAGGAGTTGGTGCGAGAACATTTTTATTTATCTTTATGGCTTGTGTGTGTTCTGAAGACTTCCTGTTAGGGCTCTTCTGTGGACACAATATGAAACAGATGGGAGCTTTTTTGTGTTTTGCAGCACATTTAGAGACAAAATCTTTATACGTTTCTGTGGTGATGTGTTTTCATCTGCTTGGACATAAACACATTCGGTATACAGGTGCTGGCCAGTAAATTAGAATATCATCAAAAGGTTGAAAATATTTCAGTAATTCCATTCAAAACGTGAAACTTGTACATTATATTCATGCAATGCACACAGACCAATGTATTTCCAATGTTCATTACATTTAAATTTGATATTCATAAGTGACAACTAATGAAAACTCCAAATTTGGTATCTCAAAAAATTAGAATATTCTGAAAAGGCTGAATATAGAAGACACCTGCTGCCACTCTAATCAGCTGATTTACTCAAAACACCTGCAAAGGCCTTTAAAAGGTCCCTCAGTCTTGTTTTGAAGGCACCACAATCATGGGGAAGACTTCTGACTTAACAGCTGTCCAAAAGACAATCATTGACACCTTGCACAAGGAGGGCAAGACACAAAAGGTGATTGCTAAAGAAGCTGGCTGTTCGCAGAGCTCTGTGTCCAAGCACATTAACAGACAGGCGAAGGGACGGAAAAAATGTGGTAGAAAAAAGTGTACAAGCTCTAGGGATAACCGCACCCTGCAGAGAATTGTGACGACAAACCCATTCAAAAATGTGGGGGAGATCCACAAAGAGTGGACTGCAGCTGGAGTCAGCGCTTCAAGAACCACCACGAGGAGACTCATGAAAGACATGGGATTCAGGTGTCGCATTCCGTGTGTCAAGCCACTCTTGAACATGAAACAGCGCAAGAAGCGTCTCGCCTGGGCCAAGGACAAAAAGGACTGGACTGATGCTGAGTGGTCCAAAGTTATGTTTTCTGATGAAAGCAAGTTCTGCATTTCCTTTGGAAATCAAGGACCCAGAGTCTGGAGGAAGAGCGGAGAAGCACAGAATCCACGTTGCATGAGGTCCAGTGTAAAGTTTCCACCGTCAGTGATGGTGTGGGGTGCCATGTCATCTGCCGGTGTTGGCCCACTCTGTTTCCTGAGGTCCAGGGTCAATGCAGCCGTCTACCAGGAAGTTTTAGAGCACTTCATGCTTCCTGCTGCTGACCAACTTTATGGGGATGCAGACTTCACCTTTCAACAGGACTTGGCACCTGCACACAGTGCCAAAACCACCAGCACCTGGTTCAAGGACCATGGTATCCCTGTCCTTGATTGGCCAGCAAACTCGCCTGACCTTAACCCCATAGAAAATCTATGGGGTATTGTGAAGCGGAGGATGCAATACGCTAGACCCAACAATGCAGAGGAGCTGAAGACGACTATCAGAGCAACCTGGGCTCTCATAACACCTGAGCAGTGCCACAGACTGATCGAGTCCATGCCACGCCGCATTACTGCAGTTATTGAGGCAAAAGGAGCCCCGACTAAGTATTGAGTGCTATACATGCACATTCTTTTCATGTTCATTCTTTTCAGTTGGCCAACATTAGAGAAACAAACATTTTTTCATTGGCCTTTAGAATATTCTAATTTTCTGAGATACCAGATTTGATGTTTTCATTGGTTGTCACCTATAAATATCAAAATTAAACGTAATAAACATCGGAAATACATTGGTCTGTGTGCATTGCATGAATATAATGTACAAGTTTCACGTTTTGAATGGAATTACTGAAATATTTTCAACCTTTTGATGATATTCTAATTTACTGGCCAGCACCTGTATATTTTTCCACTGCCTGTTTGTGCATTTTTTGTTTGTGTTAGAGTTTGTTTGCAAAAATTTAAAGAGACTGTCAGAGAGTAACCACCGGACGAACATCTACAACTGAACAACAAATAGTCAAACCAGTTTTATACACAAGATCAAATTTGATATGTAGCTGCAGGCTGGGATCTTTGAGATAGGACCAAAAATAGCTAACTCCATCATTCATCAGATGAAATCTAAAATACAGACATAACAGGTGGTCGGCAAAATGAAATGTCAGATAAAAGATCACACGATTGGCGTCGTAGTTGCAATTCATGACTTTTACATCCAACCTGAAAAGATTGGTCTCATTTCAGTGCGTGTCGCCAAAGTGGAGCTCCTCTCGAGTGCAGCATTCCTCTGATGCAGGCTGGAATGTGTAGTCAGATTACACGAGCATCTGAGGCCTCTCTCCATGTCCGACTGACCTCTTATCCTCCCACCCTGACCACTATGAACGACCGTGCATGGAGTACCAGGGCAGGCTGTGATTTTAGCGAGGTGGGGCCCGTCGCACTGGGATGACTGAAAACTATACGTTTCCAGCCAAGATCACAGAGAAAGATGATGTGAGAAGGTCTCAGGAGAAAAAGAGCTTCAGATTGTTCCGCTCTTCTTTCTCATCTTCCAAAAATGTGGGTGAGTCTGGTTAACACCCAAAACCGAAGAAGACCATTACGATGGCTTCCTGCTCTGTAGGGGGACAGACTCGCACTACAGGGACAGGGCGAGGCGGTTGGAATTCATTTAGTAGATTCTTGGCCTGTCATTTTAGTTGAGAGAACAATACTTGGCTGGTTTGACGCTTGGTGATGGTGTTGGTGGTGTTAAATGCTCGGTGAAACCTGCCACAGCAGTGGGTCAGAGGTAGCTTCTGCAGGATATACGCCTCAGCGTTCAGCAAGTTCAAGCTAATCTGGGCCGTTTAGGTCTTTTTACGGGGACCTTTTGGTCCTCCGCCAAACATGAGGTCATCACAACATGCAGCAGCTTTTAATTGGAAAAGTCTGGAATTGTGATTACAGCTGATTCTCACACGGCTCTTTGGAGCTGCAGAAGTGGAGTCTAACGAGTGTACTATGGAGGACTAAATGATGGGAGAGGTCAGCCAGGGCACATCAGGATCAGGATGAATCTGGTTTCAGCTGAATCCGGCACAATTAACACAGTTTGGGCAAAGTTTTCTTCTTCTCTGCTCATTTTAATGAATTTGCACTTCCAAAGGAAGTGAAAACAGCATGCTTGTGTCTGAAATGTGTTATCCACAGACAGGTTGGAACATTTTTTTCTTCCCATTGGACAGGAAGTTGATAACCACTCAGAACAGGAAATGTGGGGAAGGACTTCCTGCAGGTCAAGTAAAGGACCAAATCTTAACAAAAACAAAGAAAAATCCTGATAAAACACATCAAAAAGTAAAAAAATCTGATAAAAATGGGGAAAAGAGTGAAAAAAAAGTCAAATGACAAATACTGATGTCAATTTACGATTTCTGCACATAAGTGATGCTAGAGCGCCACCTATTGGCCATAATAGGTCACAGACTAAAGTTTGGGGTGAGCAGGTCAGGTTTTACGAGTTTTTTTCCCCCAAGAACACAATCCGCCTTAATTCTGTCACTTAAAACGTGAATTGAATTATTTACAAAACAGGGAAGACGTCTTTTGTCTGCCTGTCAAAGCAAATGTCATCGTTTCAGCCAGGTCTACATCATCACATTATGCGATGATGTAGACTTTTCTTGGAGTCTTATTTCAAGTTTTATTTGGACTTTAAAAAAGCCAAATCAGCAGTTCCTGCTGTGAAACTGCTGGTGTGGCGTGACGTCACAACAGGCGATAACATGTTTCAGAATTATGAGCAGATTTTACTCGTGGAGCACCAGCAGATTTTTATTATGCAAAAATTATACAAAAAATAACAAAAAGTGAACCAAAGTATAAAAAGAGGACAGAGTGTAACTACTAGTGCAGAACTGTTATTTATTTAGATGATATATTTTTAAAACTGTTATTTGATGCAGTTACTTGTTTTTGTTTTATTGCCTTTTCGATTATTTGGCAACACTTTCAATCAGCCCATCTTTAATTTCAAACTAAAACACTAATTTGCGTGTTTATATCTTTAACCAGCCCTGCAGGTAAAGAAAAACCTCTCTGAAGGTTTATTTAGTTTATAATACACGTTAAAGACCTACCTGGATCGAGGTGCGTGAAGGCGCCAATGACAAAGTCTAGAGTGGAGACGGCCAGCACGGCCAATAGCAGCAGCTGGAGTCTGACGATCCACTTCACACCTGCCAGGTTGATTCCAAGCAGAGCCAGGAGCACAGCTGCAGACATGCAGCGCACTGCCCACTGGTTCTGCAGACCCAGCAGCTCAGCTACGGACTCTGAGAACCCTGTGATGTACATGGCTCCAGCGACACACTGCAGGATGGGTGGAAAGTTTTGAGTCACCTTCTAGACGTTTATAAAAAAAATATGTTCATGCACCTACCTGTCCAAACACATAGAGGAGGCCAACAGTGCCCCCCACCCTGCCCCCCAGGACGGTGGAGATCATAGAGTAGATCCCTCCACCCCCAACACCACAGTGCTCACAAACTCCAATCCCTGACATGACTGTCACCAAGGCAACCAACACGACCATGGAGACGAGGAGCAGCCCTAGCAGCACGCCCGTGTTCCCCTAATGGTAAGAGACGGACACAAGTCATCAAATAAAAGTCCTTCAGGTCCTTCTGAATCATCTGAAGCTCAACTCTAAGTATGTCTGATCAGAGTACAGAGTGTACCGTATTGTGAAGATGTACATCACACATTGCACTAAGAAATTAAACGTTGAATTTGTTTAACCAAGTTATGTCAACTGGTTCCACTAAACCTGGTTGCTTAAAGCTGCATGAAGTAAGAACGACCTCTTATGGTCACATTTGGGTACTGCAGTCCATGTTTCAAAACAAACAGGTCTGCTCTCAGCCAATCCGCTCCCCTTCATGAGTTTCATGGCTGTTGCAGTCACGGACACAAAGCTAGGATGAGTCAAACACAATAAGTTGATAAGTAGGTAAATATATTTCACGCTAATATGGAGGGGTTGGTGATTGAAAAAGTAGCTTGAGATATTTTTTAGAGCTGACTACTTTTGTCAAGTGCGCCGTTAGCATTGTTAGCTCAACCTTAACCTCTAGCCTTCTTTACTCAATATAAAACAAAAAAGATGCCGTCACTTCTGTTAGTGGCTTAGTTTCTTCACTAAACACTGCTGCTCTTTGCCGGCCTGTGTTGAATTATAAATGCAGGCACATAGTTTGAGTTAAAGACTTGGCAACTTTGCTGGCTCACATAGGGAACCTAAGCCACGCCCATCTACGTCCGGACCATGGGTCCACTTAAGAACGAAAAAGTGAATGCAAGTCAATCGGGCTAAAAAGCTATTTTCTTATTTCGCTTGTTATTTGCCATGGATTTCACATATGATGTCTGTGAATTTTAAACACGCATTTTGACAACACAACTCGCTTATTCTCAAACAGGGGGACACGTTATTTTACGTTTTGTGTGAAAATAAGTCCAGGGCTACAAATGTGCTTCAAGAAAGTGAAGTCATCGAACCAGACACGGAGAAAACTGAGGGAAAAGGGCTGTAAGATCAGCAAACTTCCCACAGGAGGAAAGAACCACCATAAATCTGGTCATTTGGTAAGTAGCAGCTACGTTATATGCGACGCGCCGATTTCTGTTGTGTAGTCATGCTAATTACGAACTTTTACAACCTGATGAATTTCAAAGTACGTGACAGGTGTGGTCGAAACACCCATCATTACTTTTCATTTAAATTGCAGTGCAACATATGTGTGATCCAGGGCGTAGGGCAAAGCGGCTTAGAAAATGACGTTTTTAGCCCCGTTGACTTGCATTCATTGTTTCATTCTTCCGGGGACCCATGAGCCAACCAGAAAGGGAGGAGACTTAGGTTCCCTATATGATTGTCCCTTGAACCAGGAAGTATGGAGGCAGGACAGATGGTAAACAAAGACTACATCCCTCTTTGGAAACATGGCTAATCCCCTAACATGCTGAGAAGGACATCTGTTTCTGTGTGATTAATACATTTTACTGTTTTATGATCATTTTGTAATAAAATTCTTACTTACTGCACATTTAAATGTAAAGAGTAATTGTATACATATATATATATATATATATATATATATATATATATATATATATAATGTTAAAAGTAAATGTAGTCTATCACTCTTTACATTTAAAGAAACCAGTTGACATAATTTAGATGCTGAAGTAAAATGTTGAACTTTATCTAAAATCTGCTTTAGGATTAGCATTTTAATTTTAACCAACACTGATAAAACTTTGGTATCCCATTCTGAGGGTTAACAACCTGTGATGCTCATCCTTCCTCTTTACCTGCACCTCTACACCTCTAATATGTAAAAACAATCCAGGAACCCGAGGCATCAACCCTACTAACACCAGTTCTCCTCACACAAAAACAAGCATGACATTTCTAATGAGACGCATTTCACTCTGAATGGGAAACTCGGCTGCAGGGACCATCAAGCCGCACTAAAAAGCACCTGAACCAGTTTAGTCAGAAGGTCAACTTGCGCAAAGAATGGCTATTTTTGGAAACTATAAATTGCTTCCAGTTTGTCATTATAATCAGGTTGAGGTACAGGATTGTATAGTCATGTCCACTGACCACCAGGTAGCCAGTGCGCAGAAACAGCACCACACCAAAGATGTTGATCATACAGGTGGTGAAAACTCCATCCCAGGTTCCAAAAAGCACCGGCTCCCACACAAACAGCTTGATCTTCCACCATGGTTGGCACGCCTGGTGAAAACCCTGCACAAGCGCACACACACTATAGACTGGTGCTTTGTATGTTTACACAGTAAATTTACAGGAAATGTGAGTTACCTGTGCATCCTCGTGGAACAGATCGTGCACGTGCATATTTGCCTTGTCAGCTGGTTTTCCCTTAAGCAGCTTGGTCCCATCTCCCTCCTGGTTCCAGGTGCGCACGGTCCAACCGGTTGGCCGGGTTTCCATCGTCACCTGTTAAAAGTACTTAACTGACTAAAAAATACATGAAACCAGAATAATTTCTACTTTTATAAGAGACGATCTGAGGTGGTTTGTGTTGGGAAGCAGCGACAGGTGCTCCAGGAGGTGACCCGGATGCAGCAAGGTGTGTTTTTGAGTTCACTTGAATGACAGCGAACACCGTGCTAGCGCCGCGTCACGTTTACGCACTTTCAGTCAAATCGGTAACAAATATGTAATTTTTACTCTAAATTGCTTAAATTTAGAAATGTACCAAACGTTTTAACATTTTTGGGTGCGTCTCGGTCACGTAAAACTCGGGTTTAACCTTTAAGTTTTGCCAAACATTTGAGTCTTCACCCAAACCTACCTGTCACAGTCCCGTTTCATTCTGCGCAAAAGGGGAAATCAGAGAAAATCAGCCGGAAAAAACAGCGACGTGTTGGGATGAAACCAGTCAGTAGCTGACCGCTTCCACGAGTTTCCTTCCCAGGGTGTGCTGCAGCATTTACACAAGGAGCCTGTGTTGGTTTAGGCAGAAGGCCCAGGAGTAAATAAAGATGACAAATGATTAAAGCTGGGAAGAAAATGGCTGGCTTTGGAGCAAAATTTCACTAGAAAGAAAAAACAAAAAACAGGTTTTGTCAAATTTCTAAAAATAAATTATCTAAAAAAATTCACATCAAGTTAAACTACCAGTGTGTTATTTTAATTAAACTACTAACGTAATGAGTCATTTGGATTTTATTTCAGTGTGTGCAGATGTTTGGTTTGGATTAGGGGTCGGCCGATATATCGGGATGATATTTATCGTTATTTATATATCGGCAGGCTGATATTTAGTAAAGCTAATTTAAAGTCAGGCACATCCTCGGGCAACTCGGTGCTGTTGCGTTTATTAATTTAAATGCATTTTTACGTTTGCCAATAACAAAATACTCTAAATCAACCTAATTCAGGTGTCTAACACTGTGCAGCACAGAGTTGATTTAACACTTAAAAACTGGTTCAGCTTCTGAAATTTTGTGCAACTATTTGTGACATGAAAATAAGGTGGAAAACATCTATACATCAGCCACTGGCTGCCCTGTCTCCTGCAAATTGCATCCGTATCAGCAATGGAAAAGCCATTATCGGTCGACCTCTAATTTGGATCCAACGTAGCCACCGTATGTACAGTCTATGGTAGCCACACACAACTCAAGCTCACATATTGTAAATAACTTTATTCATAATGACACATTAACACACAACAATTAAAACAATTTAATCAGCTTACAAATCATAACATATTGCAATAGTCTACTCATTATGGGGTTAATTAACTGATTAATCAGCTACAATTAAAGCTGCACATTCACTCCAGTCTGAGACCATGCAAATGAAACTAACCTCTGACAAAAACCATAGAGCCAATCAGAGGGCTTTCTTGTCAAAGTGTTTTTTTTTAAGTACAAAATTTATTTTCCAAAGCTCACACTCTCATCTATGACCCAAAGATCTGGACAGAAACGACTTGTGAAGCGATAAACCAGGGTAGCAAGAGTGACTTGGTTTGATTTACTATACACATCAGTGCCTTAAATGACAGGTTTCAAAAATATTTTCATAAAAAAAATTAGAATACAGATCTTTTTACACAAAACAAGGGTCGATTTCAGCTTTTACAAGGACACTTGTGGTCAGAAGACTTGACAATAGTTGATTAAAAGGTAAAAACGACAAAAGAACTGCTCACGTAGTTTATGGATGGACACTCATGCACTGTAACATTCTCAAATTTAACAAAAAAAAATTACATAATTTACAAAAGGAGAGTAACTTCTGTGTTGTGCTTCCAAATATATTTTAAAATTAAACAAGTAAATTTCCTAATCCAGCCAAACTTGATGTGAATTTGAGCTGCTCGGGATTTAAATCCCATTTAAAAAGTCTGCGAAGAGACTTTAAAGTGCCGTTCTTTCTCTTCTCGGGACACGGCTATCCAGACGCTGATTCTGTCTCTTCATTTAAATCTATAAAATGCTCAGAAACTCAACTGTCTTCCGCTGACAAAAAGTGTCTCTTGCACGCAGCTTTTCTCCTCGCTGATAAACAGTACTTTGCAGAAAGTGAAAATATACAACATATTTACAGCAGGATACTTTCTATACATTCTAGCGGGAATGATTGACGAGAAAAGGGTGATCTATGTAGAGCTGTGTGTTCCTGATTGTCAGAGATGTCAGAATGAATTTACAACCAACAGACATGAAAAATTCTGCATCACTTCTGTATTATCGTGTTTTAAATGAACCTGAAAAGCAAGAAAGCGTTAGAAATGAAAAGACACACTGATTAAACGCCTTTTCCTTTTGAGAATCAAATCCCCCGCCCCAGTTTCAAAAACAACTAAAACATGATAGACAAAATTAAATAAAGCTCCCACTTATTACAGAACCAACTATGTGATTGTGGTTTTTGTGCAAGAGGAATTAATACTCTTAAAGGGATATTCCACCCAAAAGTGAAATTTTGTGCGTTGACATATTTCCCAAAGATGGACAAGTGGGGAAGAAACATTCCCCTGACCTGGCAGTCCTTCTTTAGCTTTAGCTTAGCATAAAACACAGTGAGTTAATGGGAACAACTAGCATTGAGAAAAAAAAAGACCTTAAAATCACTCAATATTAATACGAATTCTGCTTGGTGATCTAAATAATCATATTGACTGCATGTCAAAATCAAAAGTAACTTGAAGGAATTAGACATTTTAGACTTGGGACTACTTTATGACAAAGCACAGCTGTAAGCTTTTGCCAAAAGGCACAAGGACATAAACGTCTGTAACCATCTGAACGTTGCTTGCCAACCGCTGAAGCCTGATTGCTTCTTCGTCAACTCTGCAAAGGAGAGACGCGCATGCAATGACGGACGTTTTGCTCTCTGACTTTTTCCGCCACCTGGGGAGTGTTGCAAAGCAATTCCCCGCCAGGATAACAGAGGGCGTAGCGCTTTTCTGTGTCATGCTACAATTACATTCACATATTTAGTCCATGATAACGCATTTACGAACGTGTTTATACTTCAGAGACTTTATAACCAAACTAATTTGTCCTTCATTCTCCCCCACGACTTCATGTGGTCGCCACCTCTAAACCCACGTTTGCCATCATTTCTGTCCACGAATAAAATGTTTGCTCCATATTTTTGTTCTCCTTCAGTCACAGGGGAATAAATGTTCCTTTTTTCAGACTTATGTGACACATTCTTCAATCTGTTCCAGACCTGCCACTAAATATCTTTTTACTTTTTGACGGGACAGTGGTGGTGCTGTTGACAAATTTACAGGAAGTGTTGTCCTGACCATACACAAGCTTTTAGTCTCTGTCACTTTCGAAGCTGTGCTGTCATGAAATGTCGCCTGTAATTTGTTCGTGTTACCTTTTTTTTTCACATGCAGTCGATATGATTAATTAGGCCACCAAGCAAAATTGGTATCATTACTGAGCGACTTTAAGGACTTTTTTTTCTCACAACACCAGTTGGTCCCATTCACTAACTGTTTTATGCTAAGCTAAAACTAAATACTTGTGCAATACTGGATATGCATAGAATGTATGTCCCTTACTGCATAGTTCTGGAACCCAAGTTATTCATTTTTTATTTGTAGTTTTTAGTGGTCGAAGGTTACAATACTAGCGTACTGCCTATGTACATGTACTTTTGTTATGATTTTTCTCCAAATTACTCTCATAAGCGTTTGTGCTGCTGTAACAAGTGAATTGGGATCAATCAAGTCTAATCTAGTCTCTTCTATTGTAAAGGAGTACTGCCGGGTCAGGAGAATGACTGGGCTGCTTACAAATTGTTTTGCCCCACTCATCTTACTCTGGGACATTTGTCAATACACAAACCTTCACTTTGGGTGGAATATCCCAATAAAAAAAATAAAAAAATAAAAAACTGCAACAATGTGTAAAAAAAAGAAGTTCTGGAAGGAGAGGCACAAAATTAAATAAATCAAACTCATCTTATTTCACAATGTGCTTTTGTATGATTTCATAAAGTGAAGATGGGTAGATGATTGTTAAGATTGTTCCATAAACATTCACAAAACTCTACTAACTACAGAATAGACGCTTTTATTTAAGCAAAGCTTAATTTCAAGCTGAAATTTAACCTAATTTTCCCAAACGTTTCCATTAAGTCTTGGTAGGTTGGTCCATGACTGTCTATGATACGTTCCCTAATGAGACCAATGTGCAAAAAAATAAAAAATAAAATAAAAGGAAAAAGTTATCCTGCAAATATTATTTATTTGCAGCAGTTTGAAGCCAAAATTATATTTTGGAGTTGTCAAACGAGGATCAGACACAAAGTGTGACGCTTTTTGAAAGTCTTTTTAGACCCTTGTGTTTGAATAATAAATGAAACAGCCCACATCAGACTTGTACCCTTACACACGTGCAGCGGAGGTGGGAATAAAGTGACTAAAATGTAAAGTGAAGAATGACTGCCCATTTGAGCCTGGCATCTTTAAGAGCTGCAATAATCAGGTCTATTGAACACAAAATAAGTTCTTCCAAAGATAAACCGCACGGGGAGGTAGCAAAAGAAAGACCAGAGGGGCGTGCATACACCAATAACATTATGACCACTGGTGCACATCCCGTAGCTGCTCTAAACAAAAACCAAGCAGGAAATTGGTGGCACCAAGGAAGACCCAAAAGAACATTAAAAAAAAATAAGCGTTTGAGTCGTTTTTGACCAAATCGTGAATGGTCCAAACTCTTTTGGCAGATATAGTGGAGTGGGTTCTGTTCTAGATAAGGCAAGTTCAAGAATTTGGGGCTGACTGAAATTTTAAAGTGGTGAAATTGCATTAAGCAGCAGAGGTGACACGATCGTTTATCGAGCAAGGCAAATAGACGTTAAAAATAAACTCTATGGCGGCAAAGGTGTGAGAATATTCATGAATGTTTTGCATTATACTTTCCTCACATAACCTCCTAGTGTACATTCCAGAACAAGAAATGCTTTCTTTTCAAAGAAGAAATGACTCTTATTCTGTTTAGATGAGGTTTGTGTACTACATAAAAAGTTTCACGTTTAAAAGAAGAAAGAAAGACGTTTGAGGTTTATCTAACCACTCTGATGGAATTCCTTTTGGCAAAACAAGACTGATGAAATAAAGTGCTGCTAAAATGATCAACCGAGACTAAATCTCCCCCACTTTTCTTCAACCAAACGATTCACTAGTCGAAACATCAGGGGAGGAGTTCAGCTGAGACCTGGTCTCTGTGATCCGACCTAAAGGGAATTCTGAAAAGTCCGCACTGTGTCCTCGAACGCCCACTTGTCCGTTGGCAACAGAAAACTGGGAGGAAGATGTAGATCTCGACGTTTGGAAATGCGATTTGAAGTTCTGATCAAAGGAGCTGATCTGGTAAGTTTGCAGGATGCCTTGTGAGGAGTCCGTCTTTTTAGAAGGCGAGACCTGCTCCAGAAAATCCTCGTCATCAGCGGGGGACACAGCTGACGGGGGGGTGGTCTCGTCACCTGAAAATGAAAACGAGTGCTGGGAGTCTCCAACCAGTAATCCGAAGTGGGGCTTTTCTAGAGTGGACCTTAATGGAGAGCTCATTCCTGATTTGAACCTGCTTGGGGAGGAAAACTGTTTCTCCGTGGAGAACAGGGGTTGTCCGGCTAAAGTGGGATTTTCCGAGACCAAGCTGAGGCTCTGGCTGGTCAGGTAGCTGTCGTTCTGACTGGTCCTCTCCAGAGCTTGTTGGAGGAATTTGGAATATTCTTGCAGTAGACTGACTTTCTCAGTGGGGGGTTGAGCCTGAGCACTAGGAGTGCCGAGACTCTCCGCTGGGCTGCTTTCTGAAACGTCCGAAGAGTTAATGGATATGCTTGAGGTCACTTCTGTATCAGCAACGCTAAAGGAAATGTCTGATTGGCCGTTAGCTTTGTTGGAGTAGTGGTCCAAGAGTGTTTGAAGAACCTCATCGGGCAAAACACTTTTCTCATGAGCCGCCTTAATCTCGGTGCTTATTGGCTGGGGCTCCAGGATGGTGGCAGGTACAGTTTCATCAATGACTGTTGACACCACGGTTTGTGTAACAGATGGCTGAGAGGAGATGCTGCTCGTGTTCAAGCTATAGTCACGGTTATTGTTAGCCACAGCAGCCAGAAGGTAGCGCTTCTTCTTCAGAAACTGCATGGCGTCGTCGTAGTTTGTGCTGCTGGCTGCTGGTTTCACCGGCCCTCCTTGAAGAGTTTCGACTGACTCAAGTTCAGAGCTGCCTTCGACGTCTAAAAGGCCTGGCTTATCCACGATTTCAAACGTGTACGGCCCCACTTTGTCGTTTTCCTCAAAGGAGGACAAAGATGGAGGCAAGCACGGAGAGGGGTGCTCACTGGACTGCTTCAGACTTCTCTTGGTGACTTTTTTCAGGACTATTTTAGGTGGAGTTGTTTCTTCTGGTGTCATCTCTCCATCTTCATCTTGGCTTGTCGTTTCTTCAGGAAGGTCCATAGAGTAGTCTGCGATATACTCATGTTTAACCTTGGAGGACACCGCGTACAGAGGTGCAATTTCCATTTTCTCTGAACCCTGCTCCTCCTTCTCCTGGGCTTCTACAGCAAACGCGAGACTTTCTGCTTGGGACGAAGCAGAAGTGCCTGAGCTTTTTTCGGCACTTTTCTGGCGCTTCTTCTTAGTTAGAGAGCACTCTTTGGGAAGAAATGGAGACCCTGAAGAATCTGCTTCACGTAAAGGTCCAGCTTTACCAGCAGCCTTGCTCGTCTTCCTCTCTCTGTTTTCGTGACACATTCGCCTGTGTTTTAAAACCCGGTCTGTTCTGGAGAAGTACTGCGGACAAAAGACACAAAATGAACATTGTGACAACACGAAGTAGGTAATAAATGAAATACCAGTAAGTAAAATGGCTTGTTTGTTATTGTTTTATTGATTTCAGATGAAAAATCTGGAACATAACCTTAAACATCATACTTATTACCGCACCTTTAACTCGCTGGGGTTTGACTCATTTTGAATTTTCCTTTGTAAGAAAAAAAAAAAACCAAAACAAAAAAAACACACACACAACTACTGCCTTATGTGGTATCAATCTTTTCAGCACAACCTGAACTGGATGAATTTATACATCTTTTATCTTTGGACATAAAGGAATTGTATATTGGACCTTAAGTCGCTCAAAAACATAAAATCCGAGTTGGAAAAAAAGTAGTTTTTTTTATTATTGTGAAACCCACAAACATGTATGATGAATGTGTTTTATAAATTAGAATGGAAATCTAGACTGTAAAGTTATACAAAAATATATATGAATAAATATAGCAAATAACACATTTTTAGACTGTTATTAGCAGGAAAATGAAAGAATTTTTTCATTTGTCTTTGTACAATTATTTACACAAGTCAAAAAGATGCCCAAAAATATACAATTGTGCAAAGATAAGTTACAATTATGCTAATTCCTTATCAATATTTGAGCAAATCTTTACTATTTACATAAGAATAGAATGTTTTTGTTTTCCAAGATAACTCAAAGTTTATTTGTGCCACTCCAAGAAGGTGTTCCTGTCCACTAAGCAGAGGAGCACATCAGGCCTGGCTTCACCATGTACGAAAAAAACTATAGAAAAGATCATTTGAACTAAAGGAGGAATAGCTGAACTGTTTGTCTCCATGGCTAGAACCTGCTTGCTCTTGACAAACCTTTTAGTCCCTCTCCTGTCTTACAAACATCACGGAGGGAGCGGGGCTTTGCCTGGAGACGGAGAAACAACACAGGTGCGGTACGGTGTCGGTGCAAGATCGGCTCGGGGTCCTTCGACTGCCAATGACGTCAAAGTACGGCAAACCCACTCGGACAAAATACACTACACATCTATAATGTTGGAAAGAATTTAGCAGTTTTGTTATTAAAATAATGTTTCTTAAGACGTAAGTTTGTGTTTATAATTGGTATTTGTAAAATAAAACACTATATTTTATTCATAATGTTGAACTCCCCTTTGAGTACATCCCTTGAAGGATCATAGGTATTAGCAACACCTGTGAAATTGTATTTGCAGGAAAGAAGTGTGTCCCGTTTATTGAAGTATTTTTTGTTTAGAGTTTTTGACGTCTTGTCCATGCGTAGTTCAGTTACGCTCATAGCTGCTAGCCAAAACTCTGGAGTTAAAAGTTTTCTGGCTTTACTAAAATATCTGTCTGTACTTATTTGATTGATGGTAGTTTTACTTTCTATTAGACTCCAAATGTAATCATTTGGCACGTTTCTAATTCATAATTTGTAATAATGTAATCGGTGATATTAGCATTAGCATTCCTATGGGTTTTTCCATGTATATTAGCATTGCGCTAACCACTCGCTGCCAAATTGCAGCCTTTGCGACTAGAAAATCTCCTTTTGTCACATCGCAATTTAATTGCACATGCAGTTAATCGTTCAGCCCTAATATACATGCAGCTCTATGCTAAAAGTGTATTTTCAAAGAGGTAAAGATGGATTTCTTTGTAAAAGTTGTCCATCTTTCCAAATGAAAAATTTGCCTGGACCAACGTACCGTGATAACAACGTAACGTGATTTCGTAACTTCCATATGGTTCATGTTCAGCCAATCAACTACACTGACGTCATCGGCAGTCAACGGACCCCGAGCCGATTTTGCACCCGAGCAGATCTTGTGCCGACACCGGCACTGCTCATTCCTCTCTTTGAGCAGCTTCTTCTCTAACTGCCATGACCTCATCTTCCTTGTTATGACCCAGCTTCCCATTTTCAGTGTCTAAGAGGAAGGATGATATGCCACATTATCATCAAAGCCCTCAATGTGGCGTCAGACTCCAGCTGCGAGTCTCACTCTCCTGTCTTCCAGCAAAAACACAACTGAGCTGCTGGGCATTCATCTTTCTCATCCTCATTTATACCTAAAAAAACACACTCAACTACACATGAATCATCTTTTTGTCACAGATCGCTCCAATATCTAAAGTTTTCCATTGATGTGTCTCACAGCTCACTGTGCTCGTGACAGCTCATAATTGCAGTTTTCACAACTCCTCTGACTGTCTAAAAAAGGGTGTTTCTTTAGTATAACTCCGCTTTTACCAGGACTATTAACAACATTTAAAAACTGGGGTGTAGTTTATAATCTCCTTTTTAAGCCTGGATTGGAACTGAGGAGGCGGAGTCTTGCAGCTACGGCATCCCAAATCAGACCTGTTGAAAAGACGCGGATTTGCGTCCATAGACCCCAGAGGGTAAACCCGGCTTTCCACAGGAACCGTCAGCAGCACGTTACTGCAGCAGCACGTCATAGCCGCTGATAGGAACTGCTGTGGTCAACAGAACCTTTTCCACTGGAGCCGTCAGCAGCGCGAGTCGGCCGCGTCTCAGGAGCAGCATGTCGCGGCCTTTACGCGCCGGTTCTATTTTCTACGCGCGACGCCTGTGAAACGGATCAATTTCGACATTTTTGGGGAAGGAAAGACAGGAAATCGGACGCGGAAATGGAGAGAAGCTCTCAAGATTTTCAGAATAAAGAACGTACTGCCTTCCGGTTGCTTTACTTTTCAAAAAGTTACTAACTGTGCGTCCCCGTGAGAAGTTATCACCTAGCTAGCGGTCTCCTTTGTTTTTCAGGTCCGTATTGGCGATTATAAAACGGACAGAACATAAAACACAAACCATGTTGTAGTTTTCTCCTGCTTGTTGTTGTGTTTAGTGACGAAGTCACTCGTGTGACTTCGTGCTCGGTCGGTGGCAGCTGCTCCCCTGCTGCTTTGCGTCTCGTGGGAAGGGCCAAGCAGCAGCTTACGCGAGCAAGACGTGCTGCTGCAGTAACGTGCTGCTGACGGCTCCTGTGTAAACCCGGGGTGAGACTAATTAGATGTAAACAACAGTCTGATACCTGGTGACAGTAGTCGCACTGATAGGGCTTTTCTCCACTGTGAGTCCGCTTGTGTCTCTCCATGTGGTACTTCTGGATAAACCTCATCCCGCATTCGTCACAGCGAAAGGGCTTCTCGCCTAATCGATACGGCAAAAAAAAAAATGAGAGCAAAATGACAAACTCCTCATGGAAACCTCCTGTACACTTAGTCACCCACCTGTATGGATCTTCTCGTGTCTCTGCAGAAGGTATTTCTGGATGAAACGCATGTCACACTGGCTGCACTGAAAAGGCTTTTCACCTGTAGTTTGTGACAAACAAAATCATCCATCATCTTTAAATAAACAACATTTCAAATGAATATTTAAAAACAAACGGTGTTTCGTACCGGTGTGAATGAAGACGTGCCTCTGTAGGTGGTAGTTTGTTCTAAACGCAGCGTTACAGTGAACACAGACGTGACATTTGGGGTTCGGGATGCTCACGGACCCATCATCACTCATGCCAAGAATCTACAACCGCAAACAGCAGATAAGACGTATGATAACTTTTGCAAGTAAGCTATTGAGAAAGATGGAAAAAAAAAAACAGTTATTGTTGCGATTAAGTTGGTACGTACCTTTACAGGTGATCGCTGCTTCCGTTTTTTCTTCTTGGGACTCATCGTCGGGTCCTTAATTGCTTTTTTGTCCTTCTTTATGTGGACAGCTGGGTCAGAAAGCTTCAGCTCCTGTTTGATGCTCAACTGCAAAAGCACAACCGTAGAGAGTCAATGCATTTAAAGGTGCAATATGTAGCTAGGTTGACACCCGGTGGTCAAATTTGGTTACAGCAGTCCATTTTTCTACAAAAAAGGTACTATCTCACTTAGAGGTGTGAATCGTTACTAGTCTCACAGTTTGACTACGACTATTGGGTCAATGATTCTATATATCAATGCATCATGATTATTTCATAATTTAATTTCATTGATAAATAGAAGATGTCAGAAATTTGCAGTTTTTTATTATTATCTAAAACATGACTGACAACCTGCCATCCTCCTAAAGTGCAAAACATTTTAAAAGATTTAACAAAGTAAAAAAATATATATATATCTGTTTTCTTGTTCAACAGTCACATCTCAGGCTGTGGGGAAAACATGTTCAGCAGATGCTAACAAAATCTGAAACTCTACAGGACATGTCTTTAATTTAGCTTATCTGCGATGGACTGGCTCTCTGTCCAGGGTGTACCCCACCTGATTGCCCATTGACCGCTGGATACAGGCACTAGCCTCCCCCACAACCCTACATGGACAATTTCGATGCATCAATTGTTTGAATATTATATTCAGCTGTATCTCACTGCTGGTCCCTGAGGTTCATGGCTGTTGCCAGTTACAGATCAGCACCAGGAGATTCTAGATAACAAGTATAGACAAGTCACACATTGTAAGTTGATAAGTAGAAAACTACATGGTCATAGCCGGGGTTAGCATTCTTGGATGTTTTACCGTAGGGAGCACTTACTACACTTGTAAACGGAAGTATGCCTCCGGCATTAGAGGGGCTTGCTGACTTGCCTGTTAATATAGTTTGACTAATTAAAGGAAGTAAAGTGCCACTATTGACTCATTATTCACTTCACACATACATTTGACTGTAATATCGAGTTGTTGGTAATTGCTTTAAAATCAGCATTAGCATTGTTAGCTCAACGTTAGCCTCTACTCGAGATTAAAGTAACACAAAAAGATGCCGTGGCTTCTCAGGTTTACAAGAAATAACTCATAGGTTGCTTTGGTTCTTCAAACAACTCTATGACACTTTTTGCCTGCCGGTGTCGAATTTCAAATGACGGCGCTGCAGCGTTAGCTCAGCGCAGACTCTGAAATTTTGTGGGCTCACTGGTGTAAACAGTAACTACGTGCCTCTTTTGGTTGTTTTTTAGCAAGGAGAAAAACTGATAACCCCACAGCTGAGCAGAGGCCATCCAACATGACTGGGACATTAAGTCTGTTTTGTGATTATTTCTACATATTGCTCCTTAATATGACTTACTATATTCGGCACACTGGAAGTTTACAAATCCAGCAGGTGGAAATAAACAAGACTAGGGCTGAACTATCGTTGTCAGATCGAAATTGCACTTTCAAACAACACCGTCATGAAATCAAAGCTGTGATTGTTTTGCAGCGCTGCTGACTGACCCAAGGTCTGTTGTGTCAACTATTTTACACATTCAGGGATTCCTGTGTTTAAAAGTGTTACGGCGAGTGCTGGAGGATTACGGGCACCCAACGCTTGAGTGGAAAGAGCAGCAAATTCATTCATTTTTCCGGGATTTGGGGGGGGGGGGGGGGTTCTTTTCATCAGGCTTCTATGGCAGATATTGACAATTGCAGTCATCTGTTGCTGTGGCTCATTTTCTGTCCCTCACTCAGAAACCGTTCATGAGTGAGGGACAGAGAGGCTAATCCACGGGCTTCCTGCAACTGCAGAAAGGGATTTACCATAATATCACTTTGTGGACTTGAAAGTGCAACTTATCTTCTTTTAAAAACTGTTTGATGACACATTCGTTGCAAAGTTAAGTTTGTTGAAATTAAGCATGTAAAATGTTTCTGCATTTGGAGTTGGTGTTTTTGTGAGGAAAACATCCAGGCCACATGCATGTATGTAGTTAAACCCAGTAGACAGCAATTCTTACCTAATCTTCATCCTTGCATGATTGCGGGTGACAGGTTTTAATGTTTTGATGTCATTTCCTGTCAAGTTTACACATGTTTCTGTACCGAATAATGTGCTGAAGCTTGATTGGAACAAAAAAAAAACACGTAAATCTAATTGAAATTACAGTCGAGTCTTTTCCTAAAATCGTTGAGCCCTGAAGAAGACGATGCTCAAACAAAAATGCGAGGGTGTCTCTACGTGGATTAAGAGTCTCTGGATGGCAACATCAGCTTATAGAGTATCGGAGAACTCATTTCAAAGCAGCAGATGGATTTAACATCTCTCAAAACACATTTACAAACACTCAAAACACAGCATGTTCCAAAAAGAAGCAAATCACTACACCCCAAGAACAAACTCACTGGCATATGAAGCAAGCATGGCAACTTGTTGGTGAGTTTAAGGGGGAAATGCACCCCCATCTCACATCCCCCTTCCTCTTCTCCACCTCCACCATTCTTTGTCACCTCCTCCTGCATCATCAGCTGCTCTGGAGGGACCAGGTCATGAGTGACCAATGAGCTTCCGGTCAAATCATCATCATCCTCATCATCGTCATCCTCCTCGGCCAACAGAGGGTGGTTTGCCAGGGATCTTTCCCCGAGGGTCATCACCACGAGTCCACCTCCAGCGCCCAGACTTATTCTCCCTCCTCCGTCCATCGCCCCGCTGCTGCACTTGAGCAGCATACCCTCCAGCTTGTCCTCAGCATTCATCTTACATCGAGTACTTCTTGATTCTGTAGAAATCAAAAGAGGACAATGTCATCAAGTAAACATGACATGGTTCTGGAAGAATTTAGTTCGATGTAATAAAAAGGAGCAGAGCCAGATCAGCAAAGAAGATAATTGAGTTAATAGTTAATAAACAACCCTGCTTTCTGATTAAACTGGACCCAGAATAATAATGAATCTAGACTCCTGATCCAAGCCCAAGGAAAGACAACAGCTGTCTAACTGAACAGTGGGAAGTATGAACTGATTCATGTTAGGTTTAAAAGAGACCTAGAAGTGACCTTTATTTTTAATGTATGGGGATGAATAAAGGTGGCTTAAAAATTAGATAAATAAATGTTAAAATATACATATATATTTATTATGTGCACAAACTTCCATGAGATGTGTTCCCAACAAGTTCGTTGCCTAATGTCAACAAATACCAGTGTTTATGTAACGTTGTCAGTGTTTGTTCCCCTAATCTTATCTTATAAAATGAGCTGCACCTAAAGTACCGGAAGGCACAGAAAAAAATATCTGAATGAACCAAAATAAAGTGCAATGACCCAAAAAAAAAAAGCCTAATATGTTTGGTTATTTATTTTTACTTAATGTCTTGGAAGATTTATACATATTTCAATAAAAAACAAGGTATGGCCAGTATAAACAAGTCATATATAATCAGACCTCGAGTCCCAGGTAAGCAGCGGTAGCAATCGGTTGAGCTCAACACAGTAAAGCTAGCTAATGTAGCATTTGTGTACATTTCAGTAACGGGTTTAAAACTATAAAATACAGACTGAACCGGATTAAATGGGCCCATTTTCAACATGCGTCATGAACAATTATAAGACAACGACAGCGGATGTAAACACTCACTGTGTTACACGGTGTATGAGGCTTAAGACAAGTTAGCCAGCTAGCAAACCGCGCTTGTCAAACATCGCCATTCAAAGATCTGCAGCAGGAAGTGGGCTCGACTGTGTCTTCAAAATAAGAGACCAATTGAACTCGGATGTGAATAATTGTGCACATTGTTCTATAATAAAAAAGAGGCTATTAGATTTTTGTATAAAATTCAAATTATTAAATTTAAGTTGATTTATAAACGTATGTAGCCCAAAGTGCTCAACAAGACTTAAAAGAGTAAAAGCATATGAGAAAACGTTTCTACAAAGGGTTTACATTTTTTCCACATTTCTAATAAGTAATTTAAAAAAAACACTAGCAAACTAAAAATCAACCCATGCCATGTTTAGACACTGGATGTTACTATAAAAATCACAAAAATAACAAGTTTGTGAAAGTTGCATCATAGGAACCATTTTAACGTAGGACAGTATAAAATACTAGTTTTGAGTGAAACGTAATCTTAAACTAAAATAAAAACCTGAGAGGTCTCATCCACTGTGTTCAAAAACATGGCCAAACAACAAAGTAAAAAGCAGTGAATTATCTTGTGACCTTTTGATCTTTGGCTTTTACTGGGTGTCGGCCAATAGTCTCCCTCTTGTGGGCATTGGGTGACATTACAACAAGATTAATGCCAAAAAAATAACACCAAGGTAAAATATTTTATAAATGTCTCAATTTAAAACTGTCATTAAAGAAACAGAAAGTTAAATTGTTTTCTAAAAAGCTATTAATGGTTGATGTTTTTTCTTATCAAGAAATTCAGAAAGTGCTAAAAAATTAATACAAGCAACAAAGCGTAATGAAAGCAAAAAACAAAAACAAAACAAAACAATAGCATCATTTCATCTCACATAAGTCACGTTTTTCTCCAGCTAATTTATTGTACTGGGTGCTGTAGTTTTATACAACTACTTTTTAATTTTCCTAAATATGTATTAATCAATCAATTGATCAATCTAGCATGCATGTCTTTGGTATGTGGGGAGAATCATGAGTACCCAGAGAAAACCCACATAAGTATGGGGAGAACATGCTACCTCCACGCAGAAAACCTGCAGCTACTGGGGCCTCTGCTCTTCCTCCTCTATCTGCTTCCTCTTCAGCACATCCTGAGCTCCTTCAAAGGAATCTCCTACCATCTTTATGCAGATGACATCCAACTGTATATCTCCTTTAAGTCCCGTGAGATGTCTAAGCTGCAGCTGTTACACACCTGCTTAGACTCTATCAAAACCTGGATGGCTGGGAGCTTTCTTCAGCTGAATGAAGATAAGACTGAGATCCTCATCTGTGCCCCAGACAAGCTGGTTCCCAAAGTCAGAGACTCTCTTGGTCAGCTTGCTACTCACACCAAACCTTCTGTCAGGAATCTTGGCGTGACATTTGACCCAGCTCTCACCCTGGATTCTCATGTCAGTTCTCTTGTTCGCTCTTCCTTCTTCCATCTCAGGAACATTGCTGAGTCCCATTCTGTCCCTCTCTGAACTTGAGACAGTTATCCACACCTTCATCTCCTCACACTTAGACTACTGTAACTCTCTTTTCACGTGTCTGAGCAGCACCTCCCTGAACCGTCTACAGGTGGTTCAGAATTCCTGTGCTCGGCTTCTGACCAAGTCCTCCAAACACACCCACATCACTCCTCTTCTCCCCCAGCTTCACTGGCTAGCAGTCAACTTCAGGGTTCATTTCAACATCCTGGTTCTGGTCTATAGGGGCTTACATGGACAAGCACCATCTTACATTGGTGATCTTCTTAGTCCCTACACCCCCAGCAGGTCCCTGAGGTCCAGTGATCAAAGCCTACTGGTTGTGCAGCGCACCAGGCTAAAGACCAAAGGTGACAGATCATTTGCTGCTGTGGCCCCCAGACTCTGGAACTCTCTCCCCCTGAGCCTGAGATCAGTGGACTCCTTCAAAAAGCAGCTGAAGACTCACTTGTTCAAGCTGGCTTTTGTACGACCTTCTTCACCACTCTCTTTATTCTGCTCTCCCCACCTATTCCACCTTCCTCAGGACCCACTGATTTCCCTCTTTCCTGTTCACTCTCTCTCTCTTTCTTAACATTTTTTAATCGCAATTGCCTATTTTTGCTCATTTTAAATACATTTTTAAACATTTTCTAAATGATTTTTTATATTCTTACATTTTTTGTTTTTGTGAAGCACCTCGTGATTTTTATCTTGAGAGGCGCTATAGAAATGATATTTTCTTCTTCTTCTACAAACTTGCAACCGTCTTGCTGCAATGCAAGAACAAACAGTACCACCATGTAACCCACACTGTACCATCCCAGCTAAGATCAACAATTGATAAGACTTCTTAGACATGGTATTAGATTTTCTTCTTCCGTCAGAAAACACTAACACTTCTTTGTTGTAATATATCAGAAGTTGTGAGAGAACTTCCAGCAATTCTAAGCAGTTAACAAAATGAGAAAATTACTACTGTAAAAAAGGTCAGTAAAATATACAATAAAACACTGTCAAACTCCAACGGTAATGGAGCGTACAACCAAAAACTTCATTTTACCGTATTACATAGATTCAATAACCGTTAATTGTGAGACTGGATAAAAATGTGTTTTTTACTGTAATAAAATGTTGAAATTATAATTATTTTCAGTGAAAATAAATAAATATACATACATTTTACAATTAAAAATTGTAACATTGAAAATGTCTGAAAACCTTAAATTTTACGGTATCATTCAAGTAAAACTACATCTTTTGGGGTTGTGGACATTGGAATTCACAGTATAAATCTGTAGATTTTTAAGCAAACAAAAACATTTATTTTTACAGAAGCAAGATGTTAAAAATAGGGTCCACCGTAATAATACAACCAATAAATACCATAAAAAAGCAATTATCATCAGTAAAAGACATTACAATTGATAGTAAGCTATCTTTAATTTGAAAAATCTGTACATTAGTAGGCTTATAGGCCTAAAAAGTTAGGCCTGCAGTATATCATTGTCAACCTTCTGATAAAAAAACATCAACAGCAAAATATGTTTAAAATAAAGTCCATGGTTGTAAATAAAATTGATTTCAATAATCTTTTTCAATTGTTATTTTAAATCAACTTTATGTTATGTTTCACGCCATATTATCAGACCACCTGGGTCCACCTTAAAGAGCAAGTCACATCAAAATCAACCTTTTTTTAGCTGATAACTAGTATAAATGAGTGTCTAATAGTGTTGTAGACATGTGTAGCTATTATTTTTGCATTCTGATGCATTTTATTTGAAAACTAAATTCTGTCTAAAAACGTCAGTCTAGCACCATCTCTAGCTCAAAAGTATAGAACACGTTTATTTTGAGTTGGTTTTAGCCAATGGCTAACAAGAACGATAATATATATGTAAGACAAGTACTACGCACTACGTAGCAGCTCTGTGGCTGTTAGGGTTGCCACGGTGTGAAAATTTAACCTCACGGTTATTGTGACCAAAATTACCACGGTTTTCGGTATTATCGCGGTATTTTTTTAAACGTGCTACATTTTCACACAATTAAATAAACCCTGTATGTCAGGAAACATTGTCCTCAGTTTGTGTCTAAATTTTGCCTAAAATGTGTTATTTTGTAATTATGTTGTTTATTTGTTTACATTTTTTTCCCTTTAGTCTTTAAAATACCAATATTTGCCCATAACTTCTTATTTTTTGTCTGTTTGATGTCATCATTTTAAAAACATTAGATCAGATGATACTCAGTACTCAAGTAGCCTTCTAATCAGATACTTTTTTTTACCCTTACTTGAGTAATAAACCCTATATCATGAAAATATTGTCCTCGGTTTGTGTCCTTCCAGTGAGCTTTGCAGATGTGGGGAAATGTCATCAGGCAGTAATCATTGTTAAATTCATAATTATTCTCGGAGAGAGACCAACTCTTATCTGCCCCTGGGAGCCCCGTAATGCATAGCGTCATTTCAACATGGCGGTGTCTGCGACACGGTTTATATGCAGGTAGCGGCGCTGCGGCTGCTTTATATAGCGACTCGTTGCATTCTCCCTCAACCCAAATCCTCGGATCACACATTTTAGCTAAAACGCTAACGTTAGCTTGCCTTGCGTTGACTGTAGAGTTGTGGGTGATGGTCACGCAGATGTGTCATGAGATTTGAAGCATTGCTGCCTTTCACAGATACTTTTTCTGCACATGCTGCAAACAGGATAGCCGTCTTCTATCAACTGTCCCTCGGCATTCTTCAAATATCCAAAACATGCCTGCACTTCCCACTTTGTCTTCTTTGAGGGATAAAAAATGTCCTGAGCACTGCCGTCTCCTCGTTTGGCCATTATTTCAGCTTTAGCTTCAAGAAAGTTTTGGTTGTAAACAACAAAGCGCGCATGTGCCGCCGGCAACTTCAGCAGATGATACGGTGGCTGGTAAGGGTCACAGCGCCTACACCGCAGCCACGGTAATCCACCGAGATAATATAGTTTTTTTTAAAACAAGACAGTTATTATTATTGACAACTTTTTTTTACCGGGGTTTACCGCTACACCGGTTACCGTGACAACCCTACCTGATCGGTCTGCTTTGATCTATTTTGAAAACTCCGATCAAAACCGATAGGGGCGCTATTGGCCGATTGGGATCAAATGCCGATCCATCCGTGCATCCCTAGTAAATATTATAATTTTTAACTGTAAAAATCCGTAAAAAGCTATGTAAAGTTGTGGGGTTTTTTTTACATGAAATTACTGTATAAATGACAAATATATTCGTTTTTTTCCTACCATGATTTTGGTAAAAAAAAATAAACATTGTCTACTCTAAAATGTAGGATTAGAAAACCAGTATACCGTATTTTCGTTAATAGATTTCACATGTTTTTCACATTATATTCCTGGCAACCACAGCTGCTGGTATTTTACCTTAAACTTGACAGTTTTTTTTTTCTCCAGTGCATCAAATGTGATGCAACAAAGAGTAACAACCAAAATTATTGTTACTGATAATACACTTAAATGTAAATGACAGTAACCCAGCCCAGATAAAACACAAAATAAAGATGAAAATAACAAATTAAAGAAAATTGAGAAGCCATCTGAGACATAAAAATTAAATAAAAAACAAATAAATGAATCGTAGGTGATTTGACAGTTTGAACATTTTTACTGCTTTTACTTCTTTTCATCCAAATGATTGGTCAATTTTATATTTTGAAATGTTGAAAAATTCGTCAAATTTGTCTTGAGCCACACCAGCGCATGAGTCTTACTCTGAAAGGTCATACAGGAAGTTACGTTTCACCTTGAGACACTTGATACATTTATGGCCTGTTTGAAGCTAATTATATAGCCGTCAGCGAGCAGTTTACAAATGTATTCATTAGTGTCTCTGAAGTGTAAATTTTGAATTGATACATTACTTTAATAACAGCAATGGGCTTGAGTATGTGGACGGTTTTAAAATAAGCCTTAGCTCCTAACAAACGACGTAAATCACAACTTTCGTTTGCTCGTTTCACCAAACTTAACAGAGCTATTAGCTTCCCAAGCTATTCCGCTCCACAGGCCACTGATATGCTATCTCAGCCAGCAGCAACACAGTCGCAGAGCTTAGAGGACATACATCAAACACTAAAAACTAATAGCTTCTGCTTACCTGCGTGGATTAAAGCCGTTTAGCTGCCATAGCTATTATGCGAGACTACAGAGCAATGATGGTGACCAGAATAATCAAACACACCATCCAGTTTAATGACGGCACGGAAAGCTTGCGGGTTGCCGCCATCTAGTGGCCAGAATGAGGAAGTTAGGTAAACGGTGAACCCCCTGCTGATGCCACTGATTCAGGTGGCGACCCACTTCTAAAATAAATCTACCGTGATGGTTTAACAACCTGGATGAGTTCAGCTGTGCCTAGTCTTTTCTTTTATATATTTTATTAAGTTAAGGTGACATTTAGAACACAAAAGTAAACTAAAAACAAATAAGAAACATTAAACAAGCGAATTTCATACATTAAATATTAATTCAATTAACGCATTTAGTTAATGTATTTTATACAGCTAGCAGATGAATATTCAAATATATGAATTTGTAAAACAAATAACGTACATCAATGCTGCAAACCTATGTTCTCCCTGTTTTTGATTTGATTGACCCTTTTATGAATTTCTTTCTAGTCTATTAGAATTTATTTCTTTACTATTTTGGTAGCGAATCGTCTTTTTCAAGCTTTATCAACACTTTTCATCAACAGGTTGATCTAAAATTTGCTATAAGGGAAGATAAAAACGAAAAATGTCCTCTTAAATAGCCGCGATTTCTGATTGTAATTGGTTCAGACCAAATTTGAGAAAAATATTTATTTTCTGCAGCGCTGCAAAAGGACTTGAGCGTTTCATGGCTTCTTGTTAAATCTTTCTTGTTGCATGGCTTGGGGCGTATACGCAAAAAAATCTAAACATGTTCAGTTACCCATCTAGATTTGACTAATATCCTTGGACTGACAGATCTAAAAAGGGACGTGAAGGGTGATAATAAGATGATAGCCTGTCACGCCAGCCATCACACACATTGGCGCGCGCAGACGGCGCTGTGAGGAATACTAATCAACCCGTTTGCCGTCAAGCGCTGCAGCTCGGTGCGCAACTTTCCATTCACGTTTTTTTTCCCTTCCTTTTTACCATTCTGTGCGTTTATGGCGCTTTCGTCTTTGAGCCAAGCGCCGCAGTAACCACTTCTGTCTCCATCATCTCTGGATCTTGACGTGCGACAGGCTGCTGGAGAGTCTGGGTCAACGAGGAGAAAACCCTCTACACCACCGCCTCTAGAAAGGGAAGCCCCCACGCGTTGCTCGCCTGGATCTCTGGGGTACACTGTAGAGTACGCGGTGCGCACGTGCATGCGCGGGGGACTTTAAGTGTGGGTTTGTGTGTGTTCGTGCACGACAAAAAGCTCCAGGCTTCGTCTCCAACAGTTGCCACCGCGGAGAGAGGAGGTGGAGGAGAGAGGCTGCAGACTGAGAACGGACGGACGCGGAGCCCCATGCCGCTCCGCCCGGCTCTGCTCCTGACATGCAGTCGCTCATCTCTCCGGTGACCAAGGCCATCCTAGTAGCGCTCTTCATCTTTGCCATCCTCTTGATCCTCTATGTGATCCTCTGGTACATTTGCAGAGACGTGGACTGCGACCACGGCATCTGAGGATTCCGTTAAAACGAGAGTAACTGGATTACAACAGAGGAGCCCTCAGAGTCATGTCTCACCCTGTAAGTCCTGTTATCTCCGTGTTTGTCCTGTCTCTTTCACTTCTACGTGCTTGTCTGTGAACGTGTGCGTCTGCGTTTGTGTGCGCACACACGGGTTCTTGCCGCGCGTAATGGTTTAAAGGAAAGGAAAGGTGATGACCGCTTGTCTCCACCGGAACCCTCACAACAAATCTGAGGAGAGCCCCACAAAAAATCCTCTCTGTTGACAGCAGTCATCCATCGCAAACGCTGCGTAAAGCAGGCACCTGCTGTTATGTCTCCGGGAGGGAAAAAATCTCTAAGGTGAAACAATGTCATCAGGGGACTAAGCAAACCGGTGTCAAGCGGCACGCGCGCGTGGGCTCTCGGTCAGAGAGAGGAGAGCGGAAACTGGCGGTGACATTGCGGTAAACAACGTGGATGTCCCTTAAGGTCGAGAATGACAATATTTACCTTGTGTTGCAACACACACACACACACACACACACACACACACACACACACACACACACACACACACACACACACACACACACCATATCTGCAGCATTAGTAACGGGATTATCTCGCTTCCTGCGCTTCTTATTCCAAATCTGTTTTGTGCCATGTTTTTTTCTTTTCTTCTTTGCGTCATTATCGCCAATTCAGCGCTAATACTTTTTACGCATAGCGCACATTCGTTCCCCATGACACGAAGCTTGTTTCATCCAGTCACATGTGGAAATGAGATTTTTTTAAACACTCTGCACTTTGCCGTGCCTAATGAGCGAGTGAGTGACTTGTCCATATTGCAGGCATGCTGCCCCCCCCCCCCCCCGCCCCCAACCTGTCACATAATGCATAACGATTTTTAAAATGAGCAGCATGAATTGTTTATCTGCATCTAAACCCTTTTCATCTGCAGATAATTAATAAATTCCTCTCCTTCTAAAGCAGAGATTGCAAAGGGCACATCAAGGACATGCTGTTTTTTATTTAAGCTTGCCTGCAAGTGAGGAAAATTGCAAATATCTTTTTTTTGGTTGCATTTTTCATTTTCTCTGTGGCATGGATAAGAAAAATCTTGATGCGACAAAAGAAAAAGAAAAACAATTCCATGATGGAACATCTCTGACTTGTGCTTGCTGAGTGATGATGACTTGTCTGCCGCCCACACTGTACTTAACCTACTTTAGTTTATTATAGAGCACAACAGGAAAATGAATCAATAAAACAAACAAGAACATGAAAGAAGTTTGACATTTTGGCCAAAACAGAGACTGAAGATATTAAACTTTCTTATTTTGAGCCGTTTCACTCTCTGCATGATACAGGAATCCTCCAACCTCCTAAGATGCCGAGGACTCTCCTCCATGTGAGATGCAACCAGCTCACACACATAGGCTGGAAATGACCATTGCAGGAGCAGAAAGGTGTACAGAAACTGCTCCAGCTGAGGTCCGGTGTCCTGGATTATGAAGATTGAAACGACAAGCTCTGTCTCATTTACTGTGTGTGTGTCTGTTTGTTAAAAAAGGTTAGGCATGTGTGTGTGTGTGTGTGTGTGTGTGTGTGTGTGTGTGTGTGTGTGTGTGTGTGTGTGTGTGTGTGTGTGTGTGTGAGTGAGAGACAGCGTGGGAGGGGGTTAAACGCTGACATGCTCCAGAATTACTGATAAAACTGGAGCAGGAAAGGCTCAGCGGGACTCAGCATGGGAGTCAGTCAGCTGTGTGTGTGTGTGTGTGTGTGTGTGTGTGTGTGTGTGTGTGTGTGCACAAAATTCACTCAAGTTTAATGAAAATGTTTTTCCTCACTAAATAGATGTAAACAGTCAACGACACCTGCAGAAGGGCGGTTAATTGCCTGTGACGGATGTCTGTGGAGCAGATTTCACTCATTCCTTTTCTCATTTCTTTGATCATTTGATCATTTCTTTATGATCGTGTCCGAGATGCTAATGAGGTGTGAGAAGCAGGAAAGTCCTTTGAAAAAAAAAACACATTTGCCTCCTGTGACATTTTTATGCTGTAACTCAAACTAAACTTTGTCTATACATGCACAAACTTGTCCAAAGCAGTGAAGAAGAATTAAAGCAAACTGGATTTCCAGAAGATATTTAGTTGTTGTGAAGTGTTGATTTAAATGTGTAGAATAGTTCTAGTTGTTGTTGCTCATAAAGAAAATTTGATTATCTGACCTCAGATTTTTGAGTCTGCCCCAAAACAAACAGAACCTCGTGAAATTCTTGATTGACATCAATAAAAGTATTTACAGCAAATGACAGTTTAGTCTAGTCAAGAACATGCAGACAACCAAGAAGCAAAGTAATCAAAAAGGCAAAAGGCACTGAAAGAAAACATAAAATAGTGCCTAAAAGATTCAAAATCCCCACTAGCGGTGGAAGAAGTTTTTACATCAGTTTAAGTACAGTCAAAAGGGTAAAACGTTACATAAGTACCGTAAATGTAGAAGTATAGAAATGTTTGACTTAAGTAAAAGTATTGAAATACATATTTTCAAATGTACTTATAAATACGGTCAGGCTGGGGGGAGGGGGAGAGGGCCTTCTGGCGTGGAGAACAAAATGGGTTGTCAGTCTCCATCTGAACTAAAGTACTTTTACTTTTAAAAGTTTTTTAGAAAATGTAGTGGAGTAAAAGTAAAACATGGGAAATTAGTAAAGACACAAAAATAGTCTCATTTCTTAGTCATGTTGGACGGAAGGTTACATTGAAACAGATTTTAGTGTAAGCCATGTTTGGGGGTTGGCAGTTATTCTCCTTTTAAGAAAACTAAATAGGGACATTACTGTTTACAGTCTGTGAGCTTGTGAGGTTGCTGAGTCTGAGCCAAGCTAATGCTGCAGTGCCTCATTTGTAATTCGACACAGATAGACAACAAGGTCCAGAGTTGTTTAAAGAACAGAAGACACTAAACAGGAGTGACCCAGAAGTTACTTCTTGTACCCCGAAGAAGCCACGGCATCCTTTGGTTTTACTCTAATATGAGGTGAGGAAGGCTAGAGGCTAACGTTGAGCTAATGTTGAGCTAACAATGCTAACGGTGAAGAGTCGGCTCTAAAAATATCTTAGGCTTTGTCAATCGCCAACAAGTTGATATTACAGTGACATGTATTTGTGAAGTGAAGGAGTTAAAGCTTCTTTCCGGAGTAATTCTCTTGTCCGATGGCACCATCTAGTGGCTGACAAGCATATAACACAAAAAATCTGGTGCTCTTTTTGTTTAAGATTGCAACTTCACGTTTCTGTTTATTAATGCGCTTTTGTAGCTGACAAACAGAGCTAAAACACGTTATTTTACAAGTATTATTCTCATGTCATGTTGTGTTCTCAGATATTTATATTTTAGAGACTTACTGGTCCATGAAAAGTTTATCAACTCTGCATCAGCCGAGGTTTTACTTAAATTTGAAGCAGGCAAGCGGTAGTCTAACGCTATTGGTTAGCTCTGGTCTGCGCTCAGTTTCCTATTGCACGGAGCTCTGCGTAGAAAAAAAAAGATGTATCGCTTACAGTATATCACAGTACATGATAAGATATTCACTTTTACGGATTTCTGAAAAATCATACATCATTTCTGAAAGGGGAACACTCCGGAAAGCAGCTTTAAGTGCTCATCAGCTTAATATGTCTCATCTTTGCTTGTCATCTAGAATCTTTTTACCAACCATGAAACTCTCTGAACAGCAGTGAGAAACTAACATTTAGCTTAGAAAAATAGCTTGGTGTAACAACATTTGACCACAAGATGCCATTTTTACTTCATTTCTACATACTGCACCTTTAAATTGAGTAACAAAGTACTTGTACTAAGTCATATTCCATCACTGACCCCCCACAGTAAAGTACGGTGGTGGCAGTATCATGCATACTGTCCTAAACTGAAGTGAGTTATCATTAGATTAAAATCACAGTATGTGGTCTTCCTTGTTTGCACTTTCTTAAAAACAAAATACAATCAAATTTATTTGCAGATCATAAAACAAAATACTTTAAAAAATATTTCTAACATGTATGTTGAATAATTTTTTAAGGGGCAGAAGGGTAGGGGGTAGGCTGTTTTAGAACAATTTAATGTTAATGCACCTTGATGGCTCTACACTCAATTGAGAGTGAGTTCATAAAAAATGTAGTATAAAAAGTAAATTATTGAGGCTTTAAGCGGTGGAAGTGATTTGTTAGCCTGGTCCAGCTTTACTCTGGGCATAATCTACGTACAGAAAAGAAGTTTTGTCTGTGAGTTTCCATCTGGCACTAATTTATAACTTCATGCAATTAAAACACTCACATTTGTTTTGTTAAATGCTTTTCCGAGTAGAGGATCTGGTTCTTAACTACAGCAGTCCCTGGGTAAAAGGTGGAGGATGGGACACTTTGGATAGGTCTCCAGTCCATCACATGGCCATATAGGAATAAACAGCCAGGCACAAATGTTTAATAATAAATTCAGCAACAGCTTTATTTAATGAAACATTAAACAGGAAAAAACTAACTTACGACAGACTCTTATTCTAAAAATCGGCTTTTACTGATTTTTGTTTGTTTGTTTCAGGAACCAGAGGCAAGACTGAATCAGGTGTTTCTGGTGACCTGTTGACTATTACAGGACATCCTGTTGCACCTCTGAATTTTTCCCCCCTACATTTTTGGCTTGATCACGTGACCAAAACAGTTTTCTCACTGCAGGCTTGTTTAAAAAATGCCCACTACTATTAAATCTCACATCACCCCTGAAAGCAGTGGGGCCGAGTCAGGATGACCCAACATCACACAGACGTTTTGTCCTCGTTCTGAGGGTCTTAAATATGCTCTCACAGGAGCTCTGGAACACACACACACACACACACACACACACACACACACACACACACACACACACACACACACACACACACGCACGCACGCACGCACGCACACACCTCAAAGCCATAAAAATAGATTGTGAGTGACTCAGCCGTTATGTAAAGTCCATCTCTGATGGGGCCACCCGAGGCTGTTTATGTCAGTTTAGCTTGACGGCGC